GACAACTCAACCACCAGATGAGATGTAGGCCAGCCAGAATAAAGAGAAGAAAAAAAATACAGACCATCTCTTTCCAGCAGCCAAACAATGAAATAATAAAACATGGACCAGTTTCATCCATCTTGTTTTCAGAAAAAGGCCCACATACCGTATGCCATCTCTATTGAATTAAAATCCCCAAAAATATCATTCCAACCAGCTTCCAAACAAATATCTTAAGGGACACCATGATACTCCAGGCACTCATTGAGGAAAATATTTTACTAGCACCACCATCAGCACATTGTCATAGGGCCTAACAGAGAATATTCCTGGTTCAACTTTGGGAAGTTTCCATGAGTCCGAGGTTAGTCAGGTCACAGGGAACTCAAATCCTCTAGCCCAACTAACAGATAGCTTCCTTCCACAGCTAAACCAAACAAAGTAAGAACACAAGCTTCATTCGTCATTCATAATGGTATAATAGATTTCAACACCATCCTCTAGAAACTAAGCATTCTACATACATGCATCTGAACCAGATAGAAAAGCTAACTTTACAGAAGCTTCTCATTTCCATTGTGCTGTCCCATATAATTCAGCCTCACTGCTATATGTCTTCCTTCAACATATTTTACACCAGTCACACTCCTCCAAAGGCCTCCCTCTCCCTAAGAAATTATTAAAATCATTTTCCTAAAAGTCTAAAACCTCAATTTACTCACCTAACTTTTAACTCTGGAATGTGGGGGGACATCTTTCAATGAAGAAGAATATTTTACGGTAAGCGGGAGGGGTAGATGTATCCATTCATCCCCCCATCTTTTTTAGACCCAAGACCTCTCCTTTTAAAGTGAGAAAGGTCCAATATGCTGCTTCACTATATCTAGCACTATGAATGACAGCGCATACTTCTAACTATTCACCAAGTGATCTGAAAACTAACTTCATTTGCCACCCAATGGAATCTCCTAACACTTCTTTCCTTTATATTCTAAGTACATTATACTCTAGCAAGATGAACATAAGGGCTTCAACTGTAAATCAAACAATGAAAAAGAAATCGCTTTTCAATAGAATTTGATATGCAAAAACCCAAAAAGCAAATTTGTCTAATAGTTTTTGGCTTTCTGCCATTGATTGAGCACAGAAATTTACTTGTCAGAAGTCACTAAGCAGTAAAAACCACACACAGTGCAGAGTCAAATGCACATCTGTGTTCATGATCCAGTAAATGACAAAACTTGTAACACTAGAATGAAAGCTTTAAACCCAATCAAAATCATTAAGATTCATTTGTACAAAACAACGGAGCTGACAGGGTTTTGTAGTTTAAAAGTTTGAGTATGAAGACACATTGACTACCTCCTATAGAGACACTAATAGGATCATCTTGTCCACCACCAAATGCTTCTAAAGAATCAGCGAAGCTGGTTTCTCCATTATATGCTTCTCCAAGAGCTGCCCTGCAAAAGAAATAGAGATAGGGCAAAATAAAGAAATGAATAAATGTATACACATATAAACATACACAGAAACAGAGAGAGAAATCTTAGCTAATTTTTTTTGTATTGTTACAACTTAAATTGCTGATGTGAGCCTTTTTTTCCCTTTTTTTTGGGGTTGTCAGCAATAAAGTTAATCATGTCCTCATTATTATTGTAGCACAAATAATACAATAGAGGGGAGAGAGGACAAACTGGAAGTCCGATGTTAAGGGAAGGAAGGTAACCATAAAAAAGATAAATTCGCATTAGAGGCCAAATTTTGAACCCATACAAAACTGCTGTTTTTCAATATAGAATTCAGGGCACCTAGAATATTTGTCAGGTAGTATAATTCGGAAGAGGCAAGAGAAATAGTAATCAGAGGTAACAAACTAGTACTAAGAGTGAAAAAGATACAAATTCTGTATATTATAAGAAAAACTTGCTAGCATGAAAAACATACCCTAGATAAATTATGATTGACAAGAATTAAATCCAAGCATTTCTAACAGATTGATAAAGCAAATCCAATGCTACAAGTAAAAGTTTTAGCAAATATATGTATATGTATATGTATATGTATATGTATATCTATATGTGTGTGTGTATGTGTGTGTGTGTGTACATACAGAGAGAGAGAGAGAGAGAGAGAGAGAGAGAGATACATACATAAACTTCTTACTTCCTTTGTATAGTCTTTGACAGCGGTCTTTCACCTCATCAGCAGTGAACTCTAAAGAACATAGCTGTTCAATTAACAAACATATTAGAACCAATTTTTTTTTCATAATTCAAAAAAAAATAATGCTAATGAAATCATGAAGTCTATTCATATATGGCAAAATAAAAATAAACCATTATTTGACCAACACTATTTTTTTCAGAAATAAAAAATGGAATAAACAACTGCTAATTACCACAGATTCAACCAAAAAAACAAAACCACGGCGGATCCAAACAACGGATTTAATCGAATTTTGATTATTCAGTTAAAAAAAAATCAATTGAAACAGATTTTCATTTAACTAAAACGGTTAGAATTTGTATCACAATCCGATTCAAAAAGAATAATTATGCAGCGATTGATTGGCTAGGAAATTAAAAGAAATAAAAATATAAATATAATTCTGGAATCACAAATGAGTAATAACGAAAATGTGGAGAACTTTTTTGAGTTACCTGCTTTTGAAACATAGGGGAATCTTCTAGCTTGATAAAGGCCGCCATTGATAATTAGCTTCTTTTTTCTTTTTATGTATATTTATTTTTCGAATTTCAACACTGAAAAATCTCAGGGTCTGTGTCTCGGATCCAGAATGAAAATGCTGGAATGGAAATGCTTGTAGCTGTTCAATGAGAAATTTTGGTGGACCGCCACGAACTGAAAATCTATGCTAACTGCTAATAATTGATACCAACTGAGCTGGATTTCATGTGTTTGCACGGGGGGGGGGATATGGGTATGCGTAGGTTTGGGCCTAAAAACCCAAACCTAATAGTAAATACAAACAGGGCCTAAATTGGATTGGGCCTAAGGGCCTGCTGAATTACCCGACCGTTGGACACCTGTGAGCTTAAAAAAAAATTACAAATTAATTAATGTCGTGTTCGAAATCTTCCATAACGCGGAAGAAAAGGAAAAACCAAAAGGAAAACTCTTTGCTGCTCGAATTCTGGACGGGTAGATGGAGTGGGTTGATTGTGGGTGTTGTCCACGGTGGGGCTAAGGTACGAAAAAGCCCTTAAACAGTATCAATTTTCCTTTTTTTTTTGGTTATTCACGTTTTACTGTCACTTTCATTGTAAGAATTGCTGTGATTCTTGATTATGGTCGTGAATGAATTCAGTTTTTGGTTTAAATGTAGGAAGAAAAAAGAAAAAGAATGGAATTGAATTGCATTGAATGGAATTTGAATCTTCGTTAAAGATAAATTGATTCTTATTTGAGTTTTGGAGTAATTTTTTAACATTTTAATTGGTGTCTAATTCTTTTATGATCCACTGTCTCACTGTTCTCAATTGTTAAAATGATCATTGCTGTCATGGAAATGTTACTAAAATTTGTTCCACTTTTGTTGTTGTAGGGTAGTGTTCGTTTTGTTGCTTTACTCGTTCTTCTTGTATGGCAAGTGGAGCTTCGGGTTTGGAAGTTTTTTGAAGCGGTTTGTTAACGTGTAATAAGGAAGAAAAATAAATGGCTGAAGTTGGTGCTGGTGAGGGGACTAGACGGCGGTTGCCGCTGTGGATGCAGGGTAAAGCAAGTAAGCCGGACGGAGGAGATAAAAGCGGTGGCATCCAAGAGGATGGGGGTGGGCTTGTCTCTGGCAATTCTAAGCCCAAAAAACAGTCTATAAAAGCTGTCTTGCCTAGTGAAAAAGGTGAAACCAAGAAGAGGAAAAGGAAAATTAGTCAACAAGATAAAACATGTGATGTTGAAACTGGTTCACACAAGAAAATGAGTACTGGGCTTCAGGAAAAACAAGTTCGGGAGTCTTCTCTTCAGCGAAAAAGAAAAGCAATGAGTGGTAGGTTGAGAAGTGGCAAGGATAGTAAAATCCTATCTCCATCTGATGATGACATGGAACTGACTCCAGAAGATTTGTTGAGCATTGCCAAGGAGGTGAGCTTATTGCTATTTTTTAAGGAGGAAAAAAAGTTTGATGATTGTATTTCTTCTTGTCTTTAAATTTTGATACAATTGTGTGTTCATAACATGAGTATTGGTCTAGGAGAATGATTTGAGTAATCAAGCAGTGAATCGGTTCGTACAACCACTACTAAAATGAATAGAAATTTTACTTGTGTAAAAATTGCATTAAATATCTCAATTTGCAAAAATTTATGTACAGTATGTCAAAGCTGATAAGGGCGTAGAGCTGCAAGAATTATCAATTAGGGAATGTGAATTTGGAAGGCCATTGTCAACCACCGCTTCTTCCAAAACCAAGTCAGAAAGTTCTCTTATTGATGATAACCAAAGAGTACCTGCTCATGAAACAACTTATGATTCAACTCAAAGTCTGACAAGTGAAAAACATTTCATCAATACCAGCAGAACAGGAGATCCTGCTCAGGACATGCTGCATCTGTTTTTAGGTCCTTTATTAAATAAAACTGCAGAGGAGAAGAGGACTGAATTTATTACGAAGGATCTGGCATTTGCCAACAAATTAGGAAAGGGAAGTCAGAATGATGTTAAAGAAGAAACAGCCCCTTTGATGAAGAAGAAGAGCACACTTAGGGATAAGGTAGCAGTGCTACTTGATTGAATAAGAACAGAAGGCATGTTAATAACTATTCATATTGTGAAATAAACATGAACTCCAAGGCAAATCCTGATCTTCTTGATTATATATCGTGCCACAGTTGCCAAAGGACATTTTAAGTAGATCTTTGCTGTGGTGACAGACTGTTAGGTGCACCTTATTACATTGGCCTATCATTGTTTATAAAGTGTACAGCTTACCAGCATGCTAGGTATTTTGGGTTTTTTTTTTTTTCTTTCGTACTATTAGCTGACTCCATACAATGATATGTAAGTGATTACGTGTAACTTTTCTTTTTGAACAAGCCTCTTTCAAGTATCAGTTTGTAAGATCTGGCCTTTCATGTTGCTAAATCCTGTTTTAAATTGTAAAGATTCAATGAAAATTAGTTGTAATTTTGCCCTGTTGGCAAAGAATTAGTAATTTTTCCCTTTTCGTTCTCTTTTATTATTCATGAAAATGTTGCCTGTAATATTTTAGATGAAGCAGAGTTTACGACTTTTTGAAGGACACCAATGACTTGCACCTAAAACTTACTGTAACATTATTACAGAAACTGTAATTTGATTTACGGTTTAGGAATAATACATGGACTATGTACAGTGGGGATCTACACTTTGTGATGCTGCTTAGGTGAAAGGTTATTGTGCGTTTTGGTTGAGCAATATCCTTCCAGTTGAGTGCATTTAAATCTGCAAATAATTGCAGTTGAATGATAATTATTATGTCCACAGAAGCTTTTATCTTACTTTTGGTTTGATCATTCTTTGGAAATTTGGGTAACTTGTAGGGTTTTGTGATACCATTTTTAAGTTTAATAGAAATGCTTTGTTTGGTGATGTCAACAATTTGATGAATAGCCGCACATAACCATGATGGCATACTGTTAATTGTTCCCAATTTATGCTAGTCATTGGTAATTTTTCCTAACGCTGTAATGAAATGTTTGAAGTTACTCATGTAAGTGACAAGTTCTTTTGTAACTTTATTAGCTTATAAGTGTCAGGTCAGCAAGAGTTTAACTAACCTTAATTAATTAGAAAAAAAAAACACTTATGAATTATGATCATGTCTAACAACATCTGGGAGCCTGCAGCATTGTGACCTCAGCCTACATGTGATACACGTAGCTAGTATCTTATATCTGATATATATTGGACAAATTGTTTTATTCAAATGCCCTATTGTCAAAGTTAAAACCATTTTAAGGATACACGATTTGTTTGACTCTTACAAAGAAGTAAGTATTCAGATGGTTTAAAATTTGAATGATTATGCTGCCAGTTTATGCTTAGACATCAATTATATTGTTCCTTAATTCATTTATGTAGATTCTTACAAGATGTGAAAAGGCTCTGGACTTTGTTGAAAAGTGTATTGCGACTAAGTATAAATGGATTAGTTCAATGGGAGAATGATTTTGCTCCCCAGAGATGCATGTACGGAACATTTCAATGCTTTTAGTTTGTTTGTGCATTAGTTCTTGTCTTTGAGGTGAAGCTGGGATGGATCTTCTATGCCCAAGGTTTTATCATATATTGCATGATGATTGGTGAAAACTTGAATCTTTCCAGTGTCATTCTGCGTTATGATTCAACACTTAGCCTGGTTCATTGTATGTTAGTTCTTTTGTCTTTGTGGTGAAGGTGGGTGGGATGGATGTTAATGTCTGAGTTTGAATACTGGATGGTGATTGATTAGAATTCTGCACTCAACATCATATCTGTTCCGTTCGTTTTTTTTCCATAAATTTCATGACTTGATACTCATTGCAGCATACGCATGCTTTATTAGTTTGCAAGGATACATGTGCTTAGGCCGAAAAATAAACTGCTGATGAGCATTCAGCCGTTCCAGCAATGGGACTAAGTCTTTGAAATGTCATCCAGGAGCAATGACAAAATGGCCTGAACTAATGCATTCAGAGTCCCAGAATTTGTACTAACACTGAAAGCACCTTGGTGTGAAAGCATGCCATGTGATGCAACGATCATTAAACACTTTGCCTGGTCCTTTTGGTGCAGTGGAGTTACCATCACAAAATGTGAATTGACGTCCACAAGGTCTTTTCTTGTTTTTAAATCATTGCAACCCTGGGTGGTATAGTGTGTCAGGTTGCTTTTTTTACTTTGTTTAATTGGAGTTAGGATACTTTGTACGAGTTCAACCTTCCACGTGCATTTGTTTGAGATCAGTTTTAGACATGATGCGTAGGATCTGTTCATCATCGGATTGGTTTCATTAATCTTCTTAGTTTGGAACTTTCCTTTATTCTTTTTTTACTTGTGTTAGGATTTACTTTTCATTTAGGTCATAGTTTTGTTATTCAAATAGGATCTTAATTTTTTATTACGTTTAAATAAATTTTTTAATTTTTACTTTAAGTTTAATAAGTTTTTAAGATTGGAAATATAATTGTTGTTAGTCTCAATAATTGTTGTCATTTTGTACTCATTTGACATGGTGACGAATCTAATGGTGGATGAGATTGTAAGGTGGCAAGTGACACATTATGGTGGATGAGGTTGTAACTCGTCAGTCAATTGGCATCGGAATCACAAAAAAAAAAAAAAAAATCATTTTTCAATTTCTCTTCTTCTCCTCTTTTCTTTAATCAAAACAATTTTCCTAAAATCTTTTTTTTTCTCCAAATCTAAAAAAAATCAAAAATTTAAAAATTTTACATTTTTAGATTCAAATTGAAGAAAAAAAGAGTAAAAGAATAGAAAATCGGAAGATGGTTTTCTTTTTCTTTTAATCTAATGTTGTTGATGATCAATAATTGTGAATTTTGATTTTATCACGTGGTTACGTCATAAACCATGTGAAAAAAAAAATGACTAGCATTAAATCTAATTCCTTGAGTTGAAGGGTTTGTTTGATTTAAAAATAAAAATTCAAAGACTCATTGGAATATAATAAAATAATGAGAGGCTTAATTAAATAAATGAGTATAGTATTCTTTTAGGGTTTAAGGCTTTTTTATGATGATACAATAAGAGGGTATCAGCCGCAGGTTATATTTATACCCTGTAAAGTAGAAATAGCTGGTTTCTGCTAGTTGAGAAAGATTTGCCTACCCACCTAGGCTCTTAGCTTGTAAAAAGGTGCAGGCATCTTGAAATTTCAATCATTTGTAAACATTCTTTGGAATAAGTGTCGGAATATTCGGTGGGTCTGTGATTGTATTCTATAGTTAAAGAACTAGAAAAGATGATCATAAAATTCTAGTAGTATGTACTACTTCTCAGACGAAAGCAATGAAAGGACTATAGTTATATATACTATTGATTACAAAACCTTATTAGTACAGTGATCACACATTAGTTTCTCTGGAAAATGCCTTAACACTTCTGGATTCTGCTTGTTAAATTATGCTAATTAGATTCCTAAAGGCTAACAACTTTGGCAGCAAGAGGCATTGTAGTATTCATCTTTTTTAACTGTTGGCTGTGATGCTTGGGATATATATTCTGGTGTTTGACTCCTTATTGCTTCTTGTAAAATCCTCTGTGCCCTTAAGTAGAAACCTTGGAAGGCCAACCTTATAGCCAGTTTTTCTTACATCTTCTTGAACTTGGTCTCTATATTCCCTGAAGGTAAATTTCCTGTAAATGGAAGGTTCTCCGTAGCTCCCGATGGAGGAATCGAAAGAGGGGCACAGGAAATAAGCCATTGAGTATCTCTCCATCTTTGCATTAGTCACCACCTTATGCTCCACGCTTTTGTAAACGTCATTGCTCCATGCCTGCATTTATTGTGGTTGCCGTTTGGTTAAATATTTTCCATAGTGAAGGAAATGTTGATTCCACTCAAGAAGTTGGATTATTATGGTTTGGGGTTTTTTACCTGGAAGAGGTCTCCAATGTTGACTATAAGAGCATCTTGGTTAGGTTTGACAGCCACCCACTTGGAGTCCTTCATGAGTTGAAGTCCTCCTACCTGATCTTGGCAAAGGATTGTTAGGAAATCGCTGTCAGTGTGGGGCACTAAACCAGAAATCTCCGGAGATATTGGACAGGCCGGGTAGTGGTTCAGGCGAAGGAAGCAAGTGCTTTCGTCACATATATTGTCGATCACTTCCTTTCCATGGCCCATATTTTCTGTCAGAACCCCTGCAAGAAGTCTCGCCAGTTTTGACATGGCAGCTGCAAATTCTGTCATCACTTCCCTGTAGAAAATCAATAGGAAAACATGTTGTACGTTAGCACCTGGCAATGCAAACAAATTAAACCTTGAGACGAGTCCAACTCCAAATCAACTGGAAATAGAGTAGTACCTTAAAGATGTAAACTCTCCATAACAAGCTTCATCTGAAACCTTGGTAAGAGGGACATGGAAAGCCTCAGACCAGGAGAATTGCTTAGGACAAGTGGCCGTAGGAGTTCCCCACCTGTAAGAATTGTTCAGAAGTCCACAACTAGCTTTCCTTTCAAAGGGTGTTCGGAACAACTTCACCTGTTCACTCCTCATCTTCCCGAGTAGCCGAGGGCAAATGCCATGGTTCACCACTTGGAAAAAACCCCATTCTGATGATGCTCTATAAATGGCTGCAACACAAGCTTTTCTCACCATTTCGTCGCGACTGCTTAGGCCACTAAGGTCTATTAACGGAAGTTGGCATTCTTCCATGATACGCCAGCTTTGAGATTCATCACATTGAGTTGAGCAGCATAAAAGAGCTCCATAATGGTTAAGGAGAGGTGGGTCTGAGTGGATCATTGCTCTAGGAATGGAAGTTTGGAAATCTTGGCCAGAAGAGTCTTGAAACTATGTATGTGGTTCTTAGAGATGAGTTGCGGGGTGGAAACTTGAAGAGTAACTCTGTTTATATATGGTTCGGAGACAGAGTTGCGAGGAAGAGTCCAAAAGAGAGGAATTGGAGAGGACAATGAGCACAAGGGCAAAAGAACAAGTAAGAAGCTACCAAATGTCGACAGATGTCATAAGGAGAGCGTTTCACTCTCTAAGTGTTTGGGGAGAGAACCAGTCTAAGCTGATACAGCAGTTTTAAGCCTTTGCGCAGGAGGTGGGATAATGATAAGGAGAATAAATCCTAACCTACCTTCATTTTTTGACTTTATTGCAGCTTGAATACATAGGCAGGGTTCTTTTACCATGTAAGATGGTGACTCTGTTGAAAATAATTTATAGTAGTTTTGGACTCTTCCCTGTTCTTCTTCACCCCCTTCCCCCACTTACTTTGCTTTTCCCCTTTTTCTATTTCATTGACTTTCAGGTATTCCTTTTGATCTTTTCCTTCTTTTGGCACCTTGGGGGTTACCAGGCTTTGGCCAGTTGTGGAACCCTTGAGAAAGGTGCTGAATTGTTTATACCTACCCGAGTTGGAAACCCTGGAAATCAAACATGCAAATATTATAATAATTCTTCAATGAAGAATCCATGTTATCAGTATTCCATTTTCCTGATCAATTCCTGCAGCCCAATAATCATTAGGTTCTTTCTTTATAGCAAGTTGCAACTGAGAATTTGTACATACACACACTTCCATGTGGCTTTTCTCTACAAATGATCAGACAATGAACTGAGACAGGGAGAAAAAAATAGTGAATCTTTGTACCTTTCCGGGGAAAACAAAAGAGGAAAGAACCGATATGAGTGATGAGAAAATGATGCTACATTGTTCTTTCTCTTTTTAGAATACTTTTGCTCTGATTGTTTCCATCTTGAGAAGTTAAATTAAGATTTCAGGATTCTAATTGATAGACAATTATAGTACTTGTCATCATTAGATGCCGAAAGGTCAATAATTCCTGCAACCGACAGCCCTTCTATACTTTCACAAGAAGGGAAAATGAATCACCCATTCATACCTGGTACTTAAGCATAAATGTCTAATCACTCCAATTTTTTTTCTTAAAATGTTCATTTTTACTATTGTTTTAGGCTTTTCATTATCCAAATTAACCGATCGAATCAATCTCTACTTAATTATACTAATCATTCACCTCAACTGCGTAAATCCTGAATCCGACATTTAGATGACTTGAGCACCATGACTCCTACCGGGAAAGGAGGAAAAGAAAGAATGCGGCACACTGCATGTGCTTGTTTTGGACAACATGTGACATGAGAGCGAAACTAAGGACCTATGGCTGCCGCCCAGAGAAGACTTTGAGTTTAGACAATGATTTAACAAAATTGTTTTCCTGTCAGAATGCTTGATTCAGTGAGGAAGTCGAGTTTAATTTTTTTTATATAAATAATAAAAAAAAATTGCACAAGCAAGACTACAAGTGGTGCCGCCCAAGGACACAGCCATCACATGTCTTAATCATGTCGATTATTTGATTATTAAAATTTACTAATTTAGAGAAGGTTAGTTGTGGATCATATATATATATAAATAAATAAAGAAACTGTTGGCAGCTCGTGAGAGCATATGATTAATAGGAGAGTATCAGATGCTCATGAAGAAGACCTGGAGAAGGGTTTAATTAATTAAATGTTTAGTATTATTTAATTAATAATACTATAAAGTAAATTAAATTGGGAAGGGATGTTTGACCTTATATATTAATACTTTCCAACAAGGTTTGTTTGCATACTCATCTTATAATAAGAATATATGTTGGGGAAAACATTTATGCTTGGTGAAGGTTGATATTGTTGTTTTCCAAGAATAAATTCCGTTTCCCAGATACATTCATCCAGTTCAAAACGAATCGTGCCTGTTATAGGCACAATCATTTTTTTTCCTTTTTTCGTTAAAAACTTTGACTTGTACTTTGTTTTTTTGAATTTATAAAAGAAATATTCAAATCTTACTTTTTAAATAAAAAATCATGTATCAATTAATGAATTAAATATTTAAATATAATCTATAAATTAATTTATAACAGTATTTTTAATAATATATATTTAATGATTTTTAATGTTAAAAAATAATAAATAATTAATCATAAAAAGTCAATCTTTAATACAAAAGAAAAATTACATACAATTACTTTGAAATATGTTAATATTGATTTATTTTTACAAATTTTTCATTCCATATTGAAAAAAAATTGTCCTTATATCATATTTGGTATTTCATGCTTGTCTTAGTTTAATTGTTTTTTATAAATAAAGATTTTGAACTATAAAATTGAAAATAACTTTTTCGTCTTATAAATCTCATCTCGTCTGATTTCATATTCACTTAAAATATAATTTCATATTCTAGTTATTGAAACGTTCCATTGGAATTGATTTTTATTTTTTACTTTAAGATTAAAAGTCTTCAACATTAATTTACTATATATATATTCAAAATGTTAAAATATATATAATTCTCGATTATTATAAGAAAATCAGCTCCAAACTAACTCTTTTATTTCCATCTATATCTTCCCCTTTGATGTGGTGGATCCTGAAACAAGCAAATCTATATACACACTAACATATGAAAGAGTTTAATCCATTTAACCAAAAAAAATAATTAATTTGGAAACATTTCACCTGTAATTTTTTTTAACAAAAAATTACGTATGATCCATCACTTAATAAGTACGGATTTCATATAATATTTGATAAATCATACACAATTTATAATTATAATTAACTAATTATAAAGTAATAATTGTAAAAAAAAATACTCCCAAACTTAAATTTTTACTAGAAAGAAAGACAATGGAGAGATGAGCAGTGTACATATTTTAGAACCTTAACTATAATCTAGGGAAACTTCAACTCTTAAATTACCATGTATTATGATAAAAAGTATCAATTAATCTATAATTATATATTCTAATATATTTTAGGCACATCTATATAAACAAAGTTTTTTACTAGTAAATAACTTCATATCATAGCATTTAAATGATTAATCTACAATTATGTATTTCTTATTTGTATGTATATATCTCGTAGCATCTAGACTTTGGCCAAATGATTCTTGTTTTATTCTAGTAGCGGTAAAGTGTAATATTCAAAGTTATTGGCCTACCTCACGTATACAACACATAGTATCGTTACTGCCAAAGGGAATTGTTATAATACTGACATGTAAGTGTCTTGAATCCCATATTATTAAAAGATGAAATGAATTTTAAATTTATAAATATTTTTTTTAATTTATTAGGTATGTATTCTAGATTGAAAACACATAAAGGATATAGTTAAAATATGCATCCAAGAATTAAAAACCGAATGTGTGTTGACCAAAACAATTAATGCAATGTTTTAAATTGCAAAATTCGTATTTGAATATTTAATTCAATAATAAATGTATATATTTTTATTTAAAAAGAATTTCAATTCTTTTTTTAAATTAAAATAAAAATAAAAATGACATAAAAGCTCCTTTTTTATTTCAAAAAAAGAAAAAAAGAATGGTGTAGAAGCCTGTAGTATATCTTAAGCTAGTAGTAACAATAAGCAATTTGGTTCTTCACAATAGAGGCTTGATTAACACTAATAGCATTGTATTGGTTCTTCCTTTTCTACAATAAAGAAAAATGGTGTTGGGCCATTGACCTTAACCATAAGATATAGGTTGGGTTTGGACTGAAATCGACTTTACCCCATGATTTTAAGATGGTTCTACCCTCTTAATTGGCATCGGATTTCTTGTTGACATTCACATGGCCTAGCTTGGTTGGTTTCAGCCCATCTTATTATTGGCTTTCAAGGTCCAGTTTCAACAATGTCTATGGATGCTGTGTAGCCCATGTTGATCTCTCATGGTATGTTAGACATCACAAATTAACACAATAATAGAGAGTTTCACATTGAAATCATTAAACCCTTTTTCAAGTAATCCATATTAGGAACATTGCTAACAAATGCTTAAGATACATGTATGTTTGTTTTGAGAAAGATTGCGTATCAATTATTGAATCAAATATTCAAATTTAATATAAACAAATTTTATTTAATAAAATTACATATATATTTTGATTGAATATGTTTATATTCAAACAAAAATTCAGTAATGGTGTGTTTATGAACTATCTAAACATTGCATTGTCTGTAAGTTCTTTATCATTGAATAATCCATTACAGGTAAGGAACAGTACTTCAATATGCCTTTGTTGAATGCTGTGGATTTTTTTTTTTTTGAAAAATTGATCATACTTTATTTTAAATAAATTACAAATCGAGTTAATTTTTATTGAATTTAATTTAAATAAGGCACGTCATGAATGAATTATAATACTGTACGTAGTGCATGCAAATTGAGGCTGCCTGCTATTTTCCATGGAAAATCATCAATCATCAAGAAAAAGGGTGAAAAACAAAAGCCAGTAGAAAGAAGACAATATGTATGAAAATAAAAGGAATAAAAAAGTGAGGAAAAAGGAAAGGTGGAGAGTCCACAATAATTGGTATCAAATGCTTATGGGGATTCGCACTGTTGCTGAATTCCAAGATCTGCAAACATCAATTATACAGATTATTTACGCTGTAATAATAAATAAAAATCACTTTATCATAAACAAAAGAAAGAAGACCCAATTTTCTTGTTCTTCATTGCTTGGCTAGTCTGCTTGCCATTGGGTACCTGTTGTCTCTCCAGAAGAAAGATGGAGAGTAAACAAAAGCAAAGAACCCCACACTTAAAAAATAGTAAGAAAGAAAAGTAGCAGTAAACCAGCAGAAGTAGCAGTAGCCTAAGGTGGTTTAGTTTTTAGTGAGAGAGAAAAAGGCATAACCAATTAGGGCTCCGTCGGAAAGTTGCCCACATAAAGGTGACTTGCCCCCCTCCCTCTTAACCCCCTGCTTTCCTTTTTCTTCTTCCTGTCGTTTTTCGCCCTTGGATTCTTTTCGATTGAATTCACTTTGATGGGATTTTGTGTCTAGGATTCGGTTTGGGGGTTGAGTTTTCGAGATTGATATGGCATTTTTCTTTTGGTATTTGTCCTAACATCCGACTGTAGGGTTTTGATGAGCTGAAATGAAAAAATTTGATACCCTTTTGAAGGAAGTTGAGGGGTAAGATGAGGTGGTCGTTAGTTGATTTTCACATTTGAATTTGGTTTGGTGTTTTTGGGTGAAGTAAAATTTTGAGTGAAATCGCGTAAGAAAGGAAAAAATGACCACAGAATCAAACACGGGGTTTCATCATGAAGATAGTTTAGCTTCTCTGATGAATCGGAACGCTATATCTTTCCAATCAGCTGCTATTAGCAGTAGTTCCGATATGATTCCGATAAGTAGTTACTTTGCACCGCCGCCCATGATTTTGCCAGGGAATTCCAGTATCATTACCACCTCCCCTTGCTTAATCCAACCTGGAACCTCTTCTGGCTCTTCTCTCCTTCTTGATTCCGTTACAGGGCTCAACCATGATACGGGGTTGGCTGTTGAATGGTCTGTCGACGAACAGTACATATTGGAGGATGGCCTTGAAAAGTATGTCGTAATTAATTTCTTCCCGCCTTTTATACAATGCCTTTTTGACACATATTCGGTTTTTAGCAGTATATGCAGAATAATGTAGTCGAATTGATCATAGTTAATACTGAGTAATAGATTCCCTAATTATGTTTCTAGGATTGCTTTTAGTTTTTGCATATGCCTTTTATGATAAAACTGTTTCCAAGGTGGTGCTTATTAGGTATATCTTGTTTTTGAAATGAAGATTCAGTGCTGATTTCCATTTTCAATATACATGTATATACGTAGATATAAAGAGGAACCAAATATTATGAAGTATATAAAGATTGCGGCTACCTTACCTGATAAAACTGTACGTGATGTCGCGTTGAGGTGTAGGTGGATGCAAGTAAGCTCCTAGCTTCTTTAATGATGCTTTTCTACCATCGTTTGTACCAATTTTTTGTGCTTATCATGTGATTTACACTCTCATTCTTTGGCTGCATATTAAGAAGTGTGTAAATTATTAGTTTTTGATATGCTGGTGGAAATGTTCAATTAATGAACCATGTATGGGATAAACAAGTACTAAAGAGAAGCTGGACCAAAATGCATACTAATTTTGCCTATCTTAATGTATTTGCTGATACTTTGGATGTCCACTTGATGACAGATCAATTCTCTCTTAAATGCTACTATGGTAAATGTCAAGTTTATGTTGATTGGAGTGTCTTGTACCCTTGATCCTTTATTCTGTTTTAACCAATCCCCAAGTAGGCCAAAATGGTTTTTTGAGCAAATGACTTGGTAATTTAATATCTATATATATATATATATATATATATATTTGTACATACGTACCTACGTATGTATATGTATATGTGTATGTGGATATGTAGGTTTTTTCCCCCCTTTTAAAACAATGACTAAAATGTACTAGTGTCTGTTGCTTCCTCCCCATCTAGAAGAGGCTGCTAGCTGTTTGTTGTTTTGTTGCAGTTTTGACAGGCTGTATCATAGATTTTGTTAAGAAACATAGGTTACCGTTGGCATTGACTGTAGCACATGAAACTCAATTAATCTGTTCACATGCTTTTAAACTTTTGTATTCATCAGATGCCTCATTTGCATATTTAATATTATCTGTAGATTTGTCTGTTTTAAGAGAAAAAGGTTTTTTTGGAAACATTTGCAGAGAAAGCGGAGGAAACCCGAAGAATATATTGCAGGAAAAAAGGTGAACAATAGGAAGGTATGTTGATGAATTTTAGTAACTTTGTGCCATACTTAGTATTGATTCTTATTTCCTTTTCTCCCCAAATGATTTTAAACATGTTAGTTAAATTTCTTGAGAATGAGCATATAGAATTATATGCTCCATGAGATTGCAGATTTACTTTGTATAAAATGGTTTTTATCATCAATATCAACGTTAAGCATCAATTTGCCCCACTGTGAAGTTTTTGGTTTTTGCAATACATATCTGCTCTGATATTTAGGTCTTGATCTTTTAACATAAGTTGGATCAGGATTTTGATATAAATAAACATCATAATGTTGCATTTAGTAATGGACATTGATTGTCCATATGTTTAATGACCATTATTTCCCTAGTCATGGCATGTTGACATGGGTGCTGGATGGTGCAATATCGATTTGCAACAGCACAATGAAGATTCTCTTTAAGACATTATTGCTGGCTAAATTAGTGCTTCAAAGGTAAGATGCATATGGAACTGAGGGGTTTAAATTAGGATGTAAAATAAAATTTAAGGCTTGAATTTGGAAAAGGAAAACGAATTTTTTTTTCTTTTTTCCAAGTGTATATGTTTATGTAAAACCAAATTTAAAATATGTCAAATTTGTTCACAGAAAAATGAGAGGAGGGTGGAGGCGGGGATGAGGGAGTGTAGATTTTAAGAAAGGGATTCTGTTTGGGGTGCAGGGAACTTCCCTTGTGATCAGTTCTTTGGTTGTTAGGTTGAAGTTTTATTAATATTTTATACAAGTTAGGGTTTGAACAGTGCTTTTATAGGATTGCAAAAATAAATGTAATAGTCCAGGATTGAAGCATAGGGATGAAGGAAAATATATCGTATTGGAGAAAGACTCCAAATACGATACCTAAAACTTAAGAAAAATCAAGTAAAAATAAGAAAGGGAAAAAGCTACCCTTTTTAAGTAAAAGGAAGAAAGGACACTCTATTCCTCAATCTTGATTCATGTTAAAATCTTGACCTGTTCAAAGGAGATACATTCAGTATATGACAAGCACTTCAAGCTATCATAGTATAAAAATTGACAATAAAAAGAAAAGGAGGTAATTTGGGAAATTGGTAACAACTATTTCCTGGTTTTTAAGATAAAATATTTTGGGACATCCAAAGTGGAAAAATAGTCACACGTTGATAAAGAACACTGATAGTTGTTAATTATGGCCCATTTAAGTGGCAAAATAAGCATAAACCAAATAACAACCATGATTTTAGATTTTTTTATTTTTTTTTGGCATTATAGTTTTTTTTTTGTCTTTTTAAAATGTTGTGAGGTTAGGTATGTCCAGATGATAATTGATATATCTACTTCGCACATCTTCCTGAGATATTTATTGCCTTAGAACCAACTCTTTTGGCAGTTTTAGGCTTTCAGCTTGTCGTAAATTCCAGCTGATGAGAATCACATCATCAGCTTCCTGAAGACGATATGTCTTGTATTGTTATAGTTAATTGATGTATAAATGAGGTGAGGTTTCCTCTGCTCAGGTTTGAATTGGTCATGGTTTGTGGTTCTCTGTTCAAGTTCGGATGAAATAAGTGTGCTGAGCTAGAACCCTGACTTTGTTTTGTTTGTTGGGCATAGAATGATGTGCATATTTTGATGCCTAGGCCCTAATAATATTAACTTTGCTCGGAGATATAGTTCTAGTTTGTGAAGCTACTTTCTAAGAAACCATCTCATTTCCTAACGAACAGAACTATACATTATAGACAATTGACCTGATATTTAAGTGGTCCAGACATAGTGGTCCCTAGTTGTTGTCTTCAGTGGTTATTGTATAATATCACCCTCCCTAGTCTCTATTTTTATATATATATAGACACGCACACACACACACACACACAGGCAGGTGTACAATTCTGGTGTTTGGAATCTCATATTGCACTAGAAACTACTATAATATATTCCTTTCTTAAGAATTTGTTCTTGTTTATTAATACTTCATGCCTTGTTGCAGCATATTTGTCAAAGGCATTAGATTGACAAGTATAAGAATGCAAAGTTTTGTATGAAGAACACCATTAAACTACCTTGTAATGTGAAACAGATCATCAAAACATACTTTAAATGCCAAGCTTATTTCCAGTTCTGCCATCATGAGTCTAAATGAGTTAATGTAGCTTTGTCCAGCCTTCACTCATATATTTACCAAGCCTAAAAATCGTTTTCAAACTGATATGTTAAGCATAATAAATAATCACAGATGAATTCTTTTCAAGCTTGTTTACAAATTCAGAGAGCACACTGATTCTCTGACACCTCTGGCTCTAGGTCTGATGCTTTAATAATTTTTGTTGGAAGGAATTACAGTTTTGCTTGATTGAATTCTTAATTTCAAGTCATATTACAAACAAAACTGCTAATTGTGACTGAAAAAAATAGACATTAAGTAAATTCACTGTATCTTAATTTACTAAGTTGAATGCCATTAATGGGATTCCTGTTTTAATTTCTTGAATCAATTAATGTCTTTAGGATGTAATGTGATTGAAGAACCAGTATTCTAAAGATCATACTTCTTCAGGATAAACTGGTGGAATCATCTTCAAAAATGAATATGCCTTCAGCTCTGCCACAAAACATGGCTGTATATCCTCTTGTGGTGCACCATTTGGACCAGAATGAAAGAATGCTTTCTGAAGGTTTGTATTCTATGCTACCACTGAGAAGTGTGGTATCTTCTTTCAGTTGTGGTTACTTTTAATTAATATTTTCAGTATATGTCCACATCTCCCATTTTTATTCTCTCAAGTAATGTAAGACAAATTTTTGGTAATCTTCCAAAATGTTGTTTTTGATGGATATGGGCTTCAGAAATTCAGGGTATTGGGTTTTTGAGTTGTTGTATAAAGGGGTTACGGTTACAAGGAATTAGGGATGGAGCGTTGATGGATATTAAATATCAAATAGTAGCTGAATTATTAGATTGGCTCGTAGAACTTCCTAAACAGCTGGCTAATGATAAAAGGATTTGGGACTGTTACAAGCATATGTGCCCACAAGTTTCAGTGGGGCAAAAGTTTTACGTATTGTTCCCCGTCCGTAAACGTGGGACTACATGTTAATTAATAAGATTATCAGACAAGGCAAAGTTAACCAGATTGAGTAAAAGAAAAAACTCAACTAATAATATTATTTGATGAATAGAAATCTTGATAGAAAAGGTTATGCTTGAAAGTAATAATTAATCGCATCGAACCGTAACTTTTGCATACTATGTCAACATTTGTATTCATCCTTTTTTCCTTACAGGATATTAAATTGATAAAGGGGTATAGTAACGGACCAGTGAGGGTAGAACTTGTTTGAAGAGTAACTTTTGAACACAATAGAGTTCAAAACACAGCATAAATTAGAATACCAAGAGGATACACTTGAAACCTAACAGCAATTGCAATGTTTATAATATACAACAAAGACTGATCTTTCTTTTTTCTTTATAATTTCAATCTATTTATATACATTTATTCAGGTGGTTGAGGAGGGTGTTAATGATAAGTCCCAAACTTTGCTACATAGCAGCCAAAAATGTGAATGTAGTTCAATTTACTGATTATTGGATAAGAACAAGTTATAGACTTCTTCTTTTAGGGCTGTATCATTCTCCATTGGTTGGAGAACAATGGCACCTTGATTCCTAAAGTTTTGAATTGTCAGTCATCAAACTCTGAACCTTCATATATACAATATTTTGTGGATAGCAAACCCAACTTGCTGTACACATCATGCCTTTATAGTATTGAAATATCAAGTAATTTAAAATAGGAAAAATTGAGGAAAGTATCTCAAGGTCACACCATTGATGCTTTATAGATATTGCTTCATTTAAGTAAATTCCTTCTGAATTGAGCTCTTGACACCGTCTGCCCATTCTCCTTGAATTTATCAAAGTAATTGTGTTTTTTTTTTCCTTTTGACTTTATATGCTTTTTTTTTTTTTAACTTTTTCACTCGTGTTTATGTAAGGTTTTACTTAATGAAACCATCTTTAGTTTGTGGTGAATTTTTAATATTTTAATCTGAAAGTACCTCTGCTTGTGCTATAGATGGTAGTAGTTGGATTTGGATGATGCAAATTCCTTGTATACGTCTTGCAATTAAAAGTATTGGTTGAGGTAAGTCTACTTATTTGTTGTGTGTTTTCAGGAATAAGTGGTACAACTATGCAACGTTTGAAGCAAAATGCTCAAGCTTTTACTCAAATCACGTCCAATCTTTCGGCATACAAGGTGAGTGTATGATTTCCTGGTTCATAGCAATTCTTTTATTGTCAATCTGCAATCATACAATATATTATAGGTGTTAGATGAGGTGAATACCTTGTCTTGTTGTTTGTGTTGTTTTTAATGGTTAATCTATAAGTTTAGTTCTGCTTAGGTTAGGTAAGGTGATGACAATTCCTCTAATTTATGAATGCTGATGGCATTAGAGTGAGAATTGGAGAAAAATAATACGTATCACAGATGAAACTAGGGAAAACAACAATTTCAGTTCTATTGTCATTGTCCCCAACGTTTTACCAACATTTACAAACTGATCTAAGGTGGCACATGCTCGTGCAATTCTAGTGGTATATACCCTATTTGCCTGGAAATAAAAAGTACAATACTGTAGTTCTATACATATTGCTGGGCACGGGCTATTGTTGTCAAGTGGATCTTGGTCTTTCAATGGGGGATGTCATGGGTTCAATCTTTTCTTGTGCTTTTAATTGTGCTCATATAAATCTTGTATCTGATTGCTCCTTATCAAACGTGATTCTTGTTTTCTTGCATTATCTATAAAAGCCATTTGACAGTCTTCTGAGGCTAGCTTATTCTGTAAAACTTTTATGAACAGTTACAGGATAATATTGATCTCTTTTTTCACGCAAGGAACAATATTACCGCCATCCTAAATGAGTACGTGGATGTTCTTTATATTATGAATTGGTGATTAATGCCCTCTGGCCAGCATTTTGGTTTATTCTTGGGTTTAGTGTTGTGTATGGTTCAGGTCAATTAATTCTACTGTGACTTTTTGCAGCATGAGAGATATGCCAGGTTTAATGAGCCAGATGCCGCCATTGCCTGTATCTGTTGATGAGGATTTAGCAAATAGCATCTTGCCAGGTGCAACTAGTGTCTTGCCTAGTGCAACTCAGGTAGGTTTTCATTTAAATTGCTTCAGTTTGATGCACTGGAGTGGATGGTCAGAAATTGGTGGGATAATATAAAACTTCATAAGAAACTAAAAAATCGGTTCACTTTATGGGATCTGTCATTAACTTTATCTAATTAAGGTTTCAATCAAAGCCAATGTTATGCTGGTTGAGAGTGTAACCTTCCCAGGTTGTCCTGAAAGTTCTCTTATATTAGTTCATATATAAGGGTTTAAATTCAATCAGGACTAGGTGTGAAGCAAGGTTTTTACAGACTCCAATGGAAAACATTCCACATTAGTCTTTTAAACTTTCGAAAATAAATTGTACCTCACAGTAACTTTCCCTTATACAACATCCCAAATTCTTTCTTTCTGGTTCGGATGAATATATGAATTCCCTACTCCCATTCTAGTGAGGATCAGTCATCCTCTGGCTTTTCCTTTCTTTTCTTCTTCTTTGTCTTATTCTTTCTATGATTTCACATTTATAGCTATCTTCCTCTCTCTAACTAAGTTTTCTAATCTCTTTCACATCCCAGATTTCATCCAAAACCCCTCTACCTCAGTTTTATCTCTATTTGATGTCATCTAGATTTTGAATTGAAATTTGAAATTTTATGGTTATCGTAAAATGCTACAGGATAAGAAATTACATTTAGTTGCCTATTCACTAAACATTGTGGCATTGGCTGGAGATTTATAGATGTCTTATCCAATATAGTGCAGTCTGTCAATGCTATATTCTTGCATTCAACTTGTACATCAGCTGTCCATTGGCACATTCAAACTTCAATTCTTGACATGACCGTTATTGCTCCCCTTGTGGTATGGTCTTCCTACCAAAATGTTTCATGGCTAGCTGGTAAATCATTAGCCAGTCTTTTATATTATTGTACAGCAAGTTCTGCAGACTTCATTTTTCTTGGCAAATTCATTGTTCTGTAAAGTCTTCATACTTAACTGTTTCATAGCTGGTTGCTCAAATCCTCATCTATTCTTTTATGTTCTCATGATGTTGCATCTGAATTTCCAATATCTTCTAATTTTTGGCTAACATGTGAGTTGGCACTGCAAACTTTTTTTTATTGTCATTCCCCATCATTTTTCATGTGATCATACCATTACATCCACCTCTCTCAGATCTTGTGTTTTGTTCATGCTATTCAGCTTTATCGATGTGCATTTAGATTTTGAATTTCATTGTGGAACAACGAGCTGCATGTTTGACTCCAGTATGTTTTTATCACATTGTAGATGACTTGCAACCTTGCATCTAGCCATTCTTAGTGTATGGTTTAGGTCACATAAGGTGAATACTCAACTTTATTGTAATCTTCTGTTGCTCCTGGTACATTTGGACAAAGATAGAGGTGCTGAGGAAGGGGTTGAATTTTAAACCTCAAGGTCAACCCTCCATACTGTTACTCATGCTGTCAGCTAATGTAGATATAATGGCAGGAAACTAATTGCCCCACAAGGCAATAGGTGGTATGCAAATGTTTGAGCTAGTGAGCAATGGTCACTCATTAATCCACTAACTTGCCATGAGAAATTATAATTTACGTATGATGCATACTTGTTTGCACTTGTGATACCTTGTTTGTCTTCTGTGTCCAGTCGATGATTTATGGCTTGTCAGGCGGGGTCCATCTCAAGCAGGAGCCAAGGTGCTGATAGGGAATTGTTGAGATTGAGGTTGGATATATCTGCTCTGTGTAATTACAAAAAAAAATTTCTACTGTAAATGCATAAGAAGCTGGTAGGATGCTGTTCTTCCTCTTCTGTACACAAATACTCATCACACATTGGGTGCCTCAATGGAAAAATTTGTAGAGATCCCCATTTTTGGAACCTGAAATGTTTACCCTCCAGATATCAAAAACCAAGCACCAGATAATAAGAATGCAGACTGGTCATCATCTCCTGGCTCCAGGCAGAAAAAGAAAAATTGTCTAACAGATTGAGCTGAATTTTGCATTGAAGTTTCATGTGTATAATTTATAACTTGCTGCACCTTGGAGTGGATATTTGGTGCTTGATTTATAACTGCTTGTAGTTTGTTAATCTTCTTGTTTCAGTATTAGACCAATACGAATGCTTGATAAGGTCAATTCCTCTTACTCTCAACTCCCCCTTCCCTTTAAACATTTTTGTAATTTATTACGTTCTACAACCTGACTTATATAACAAAACCAAAATCAAGTTGGTTTGGGAATTCAACTCCAAGATTTCAAGGTCTATGAAATTTGGAGTGAGGCATATGGTCAAGGAAAATGTTTTCCTATAGGCTAAGTTGCAGAGAGAGAGAGATGCAGATGTTATATGCAAAAATTGAAGAGAGATCCAGAGCCTGAGTTTATATGATATTTCTTCTGAATTCTGATTATGAAGATTGGAGATTACACTGCAGCAAAACCATAGTGGACTTAGTTCAGCGCATTCAAATGTAACTAAATCCATCAAACCAAACCGTTCCCACTGTCAAAGTCGCTCAACCTTCTACAACTGCCAAAATGAAAAATTGGGAAAACCTTTACAAGACAAACTCTACAATAGCTAGTGGAAGAATGAAAGTTTCAATGGGAAAGAATAAGAACACTTGAAAATCAAATGCCTGCCAAAATTTATCACAGGCTTATATGCTTAGATGTTCATCTCTAGGCAGGCTCTGGACAGTGTCCGACCATCTCCCTGGTGAATGGTCACTACTGTTAGATGATACTTGAGCCTCTGACCTAACGTCTCTAATCATCTTTAAAACTTCCCTCATTGCAGGGCGGTTTTCTGGCGCAAGTACGACGCAAGCCATTGCAATGTTCAAAAGAGCCTGAAGCTTCCCCTCAGATGCCTCGTTACCCGAGGTAGGCTCATCCCCGGACTCGGTCTCTTCTTCACGGACTGATCGTACCCACCTAGGAATGTCTGAACCGTGCTCCTGAACAAGGTCCTGGAAGGGAGTTTTTCCTGTTAGGAGCTCCAGGACAAGAACACCAAAGCTGTAAACATCAGCTGGTTGGGTGGATGATTTTCGGACGTCCCTGCATTCAGGTGCCCGGTAAAAAAACGTAGCACCACTAGGTTCTTCCACTGGGTCTGGATCTCGAAATAAGGTGAGGCCATAATCTGTGAGGCAGGACTCAAAGTCAGGACCTAATAACACATTAGAGGATTTCAAATTCCCATGAGTTAAGCCTGGATTTTGGTGTATATAAAGCAGTCCAGTAGCCAAGTCCTCAGCTATTTTGAGACATGATGTCCAATGAAGAGGCTTTCCACCACCAGATGTCCTTGTTCCTACAAGGTAATCCAAATAGTTAACTCAAGAAAAATTAAAAGGTTGTAGTGTAGAGGGTATTAGCAATTAGATTTGCCGCAATCCTAGCCTTGACCAAAGAAGAATAAGAAAATTTGAGAAACTTATCCCATTAATAAGATGGTACATACACTGCAAATTGATGCGTTTTTGCATTAGATTTCTAATAATTATTTTGACATATCGCTCAAAGGCACAGCAAAACCCCAAACTTTTTTAATTGTTCTAACCTCCTAGTTGAGTGGAGGGAAAGGAATAGAAGATCATTGATAATGACAAAGTTCAAACCAAATCCTCTTATGCTAAAGCAATAATGTGACAGCCAAATGTACCAACAAAATTATGACAGCCTCCAAAGCAAATATATATATATATATATAATTATTTTATGTTAATTTTGTATACATGAAAAATTACTAGTACAATCTATATTGGGGAATTCAGTGGGTGGGGGCGACTGACAATAATAACATGCCGGGGTCAGACAAACAAGTCACTATGAGTTGTCATATAAAGCTTTGCGCCATTCTCGAGACTCAGCTTACCATTATTATTATATCATAAGAAAATGAAAACCCAACCATGAATTGTCCTTATTTACCCAAATCTTTACCAGTATGATTGATAGAGATATGGGAGAAAACAAAGAACAAAAGTTTGACCAGCCTTTTTAAGACCACTCTCCAGGCATTTTTCTGTGGGTTTAAAGCAATAATGATTTGGTTTGAAACCAAAAAGAAAAGGAGAAAAAGAATCATAAAGCATTAAGGTTAGGGTTAATACTCAATGAACATGAAGAGTAAATAAATGTCCACTACTTTTCTTGTGGTTTACCATTTTTTATAAATTAAGATTTTCTTTGTGCAAAGGAAAATAAACCCAGAATAACGGAAACAATAACAAGAGGCAAGGCAGGGAAGAAGGTACAATGCCAACCCAAGCCTAAGGTGGGGGCTTGGTTGGCCTTGGGGAATCATAAAAGAAAAAACAAGGGCTGCTTGGTTTCCTGGAAACACACCAAAGCTACAAGGACAATTTCCAGAAGAGCATCCGCCTGTAGAATTGGACAACCAATGTTGTAATGAGAAGGGAGGGAAGAAGGGGTTTCAACTTCAGTTTACCGCTATTTTTCAGATCAAGACAGCTATGGAAATTTTGTTTGTCTACTTCTGTTGGCAGTGGGTCCTCAAATATTCAATAGAATCTATCCCCACTTTTGATGGATTGAGATCTCCCCCTCAAGGGGCCCTACTTCTTGCCTCATCCAAGTAGATGCATACTACCTTTATCCTCTAATACTTCAACTTTTTGCAGAGAAAACAAAGAAATTATACAAGATCAACATGATCAAAACAGTTTTTAAATAAACTTGAAATCCCCACCTTTTCTTCTAATCTTAACCATGAAAAAAGGAAGGAAAAAAAAGGAAAGAAGGGTTTGCTCCCTCATTGAAGGTCACACAAATTATGATGTCTTCCTCATCCCCGTGACATCTAACAAAAAGCTTACACGCGATGGCCCCAGCCTTGGTCCATGGAAACGATACACTCACCACTGGGTAGCTTTCATTAGTTTCTTTTTTCTTTTTTTTTTGCCTGCCATATGGGATTAAGGAGACGGTAATCATAATTATGGTTAATTAAGTGTAAGCAAACTGTTTTATCATTACAAATTATGTCCTAAACTCACACTTTTTTAACTGTCTTGACTTCCATTTGCTGCTCTTAAGTCAAAGCTTCGAAGGCAAGAAATGAACTTTGACCTTTTAGGCTTTAAAGACCCTAAAAACAACACAGGCCCAAATCAAATCCCGGTCATTTCTCCTTACTTTAGTGCTACTTTCTTTCATTCACTTGAGTGAGCGGGAAGGGAGGGGGGTTTAGGGTTAGATCATTTTTTGACCTAAAACTGATTAAGGAAAGCATTAGGTAAACAATGCCTGTTTAACCTAAAAACACAAAAAGGACGGAAATAATTGGAATGGGGATCGGATGAGTCACTGACGTACCGTGGATGAGAGAAAAGAGGCTTCCATTTGGGAAGTAATCGTAGACGAGCAAGCGCTCCTCCTTGGCTTGGAAATAGGCTCTGAGTGGGACCATGTTGGGATGCCTGAGCCTACCAAGCAAGTCCATGTGTCTCTTGAACTCCTCTAATCTTGGATATCTAGCATCTTTCAACCTTTTAACGGTCACGATGAAGCCTGATTCCATAACAGCTTTGTAAGTACTCCCCATCGTACCTCTCCCCAGTGTCTCCGCTGATGCTTTCAACAAATCTTCCAAGCTATAACTCATCTGCTGATCACCTGCTCCCAAGAACACCAAGCTCCCTAGACCCTCACTCTCCCAAAACCCTCCTTGTTTTCCACTATTATTACCTCCCATGCCACCGCTTCCTCCTCCTCCGCCGCCTCCTCCTCCCGCCGCCTCTCCTGTCTCCACCCCTTCTAGATTGACAACCCCTTTGCTTTTAACCTCCTTTGACTGGTCCTTTTCATGTTTCCTTTTGCTAACAAAACACACCAAAAACACACAAATGAGTAGCAGCAAGAATCCACCTACACTTCCTACTACAATCTTGATCAACCTGGTATGCTTTTTGGATGAAGATTTTGAACTTGGAACCTTGGGATAAGCAGGACTCGTTCCTGGCCCGAAATTGATTGTTTGACATGGGTTTTGAATCTGTTCTCCGCAAAGATCAATATTACCTGAATATGAAGACATATTGAACTGAACCAGAGCTGGGGTCACAGGAATTTGGCCATAAAGTTTGTTATTAGACACATTGAAGAATCTGAGACTTGTTTGGTTGAAAGGTGGGATTGTGCCCTTCAAGTTATTGTCTTGTAAGTAAAAAGTGTACAAGCGTTTGAGTTTGAGTAAAGAAGCTGGAATGTGACCAGAGATTTGATTTCCTGAAAAAACTATGATTTTCAAGCGATGTAAACCTGAAACTGATTCTGGGAATTCGCCGGTGAAGTTGTTGTCGTTGAGGAAAAGTGATTTCAGATTGACTAGGCCAGAAAGGCTAGGTATTTGACCTGAAAGTGAGTTTCCTTTGAAACTTAAAACCCGAAGTTGATCCAACTGATTCAAGCTTTCTTCATCTAAAGTACCCGTCAAGTTTAGGTACTCTAGTACAAGTTTTGTTACTCTCCCATTCATGCATTCCTTGATTCCTGTCCATGCACACACATCGGTTCCTTGCCAAGGCAATGAGTTGAAAGGATCGATGGATGATTTCAGGGTTAAAAGCGCCTCTGCATCCCCTGATCTGACAAGAGGAACAAGAGAAAGGAGAGAGCAGAAGATGAAGAAGAAAAGAAGGTAGTACCTTGAAACAAGGGGTTCCATTTTGAGCCTGCGATCTTCAAAAATTAATCTCTTATCTTCTTTTTAGGCAAAGAGAAAAAAATGGGATCTTTCAAATCATCATCCTTAAAGGCAACCCCTTTGATTTGAATGGCATTGAATTGGTTCCATACGCAGAGACATTTGATGTTTCAACCTTCCAAAAACAATACCAAAATCCCTGTTTTCAGCACGCTGGCACCCCCTTTTTTTTTATTCTCTTGTACTCAAATCACTGCCCAAACTCCAACCCTTCAGATCTGCCATTCTTTCCACGCACAAGAAATTGTAAAACCAAGACATTCGAGTTATTGAGTAAAAGAAGAAACGCGCCAATTTGAGTCATTTTCAACAAAGGCAAGTACGCCCTCTTTTTTGACTGATCAGCAAAAGAGACAGCGTTCAAAAGATGAAACAAGCAGCAATGGGGAAGCTTATTTACTACTCACTGAAGTAGCTTCGAAAACCCTGAGAGGAGCCATGGCATTTATGGTGGAGGAGGAGGAGCTGCATTGCATTCGTGAAGCAGTCTTTCTCAAATACACCCAATGCTGAGGCATCTTTTCTCGACCTTGTTACTTGCAAAAACTCACGGACAACGCAGCGTAACCTTCACGTGAACTCATTCAGAACTTGCAGACCAGAAAAAATGAATATATTACTAGCAACTTCCTTTTCTCCTCTCTATGATTTCTATATTCCTGAAACTGCAGTAACTAAAAAAATAAACAAATTAAAAAAAAAAAAAAACCCAGCTTCCTAAAACTTTCTTTTTTCCTTTTTCTTGCTTCTTCTTGGGCTCCTCAAATGTCGTTTAGCAGTGTCGAAACTTGAGAGTCATGGGATCCAAATCCAATACTGCTCTCCATCTCTTTGGTTAGTTGAATGATACATTCAATCAATCAAAGGCCTGTTTTTTGAACATCAAATTCTGAAGCTTTCTCTCTCTCACTCACTCACTCACTCCTTAGCTGCACCACTCTGCTAACCAGCGAAGACCCAGAAGTTGAAAAATCTTCAAAGAAATGATTGGAGCAACTGAAACACCACACAATGCCAGAGATCATCAAAAGCTTACTTTGTCTGATCAAAAGGCAAATTAAAAACAAACACAAAAAAAGTTTGGAGCTGACTAATAAGAAAAACAAAAGCAACTATTAAAACCCACAGTTCAATGGTAGAGAATAGATCTACCTGTATTGAATGTAATAATTCAAGAGAGAGAGAAAGAGAGAGACTGTGTTTCTGCGCGGCCTCAGGAAATGGGTGAAGGAATTGAAAGCAAAGGCAAGCAATAATATTTTTTTTTCTTTTTCATTTCCACTCGAAAGGGGAAAGGGAGGCCAGGGGAGTGAGCGTTGGTGTTTAACTTAACTGACACGTGTAATTATTAAAATGGAATACACGTGGCAAAAAAGGCCTTCCTCTTTTTTCTGTTCTAGTTGAGTTCACGTTAAAGGGGGATGTGCTTTGGCCAGCTGTCACGTTGATTCCAAGTCAAGATTCGGAGATTGCATTAGTTTTCGAGGTCGCCACGGTCGTTTTAGGGACACATGAACAATCCCGTTTACCTTGCCGGAAATCTAGGTGTACCCTGGCTGTAGCTTTGCCTTTGCTTCATCCAGGTTCAAGCCTAAAGGCAAAATTTTGGTTGATTTTGTCAAGGAAATAATAACGCTAAACATTTAATAAGGACAGGGAAACCGGGGGCGTATTCATTCCTTTCTTCATGCCTTGTCCTTAGAGTTCAATGAATTTAATTAAATATTAAATGTAAAATAGAAAAGTAGGTAATGCTAGAAAAGATATCACCAAGCAAGAGTAAGTGAAGAAGAAGCAAGAAACACTTTTTTTCTTCTTGGTGGTGGGCTATCTGTATCTTACATTTTCATTAATTTAAAAAATATTAAATTGAATAACATTTATTATTCGACAATGTGTTCAACAATTTATTAATAACATTTTATTAACAATATCAACATTAAATATAAAGTAAACTTTTGAAACAAAATATTCCAATCTTACATCGAACTAATAAGAAGATTTTGCTACATCGGATTAAACTTTTGAAAATAGAATAATAATCTGGAGCCTTCTTAATTTTTTTTTTATAAAAAAATTGATATAAATAAATAGTGAAAAGCAATAACAAGACAATAGATATGGACTTGATGTTAGTTTTCCTTATCTAGTTCTGCTTTATGAAATGGTTCTGTTTTATGGTTGGTCTTTACAAAGTAGTCGTTGGAGGGTAGGTAAAGGTAACACGCACACACTGGCCGTTATATGGGCTAAGACTCTCCAACGTTTAAATAGGTTAACTTCTTCCCTAGGAACGACAGCTGATAGCCGATTGTCGTGAACTTCATTTTACATTTCTTTATCAAGACTTGGATTATTCATGGGCGGCTACCGCATAGTTTTATTAGGGCTTTGCCTCCGAAGTTCCCAAATTTTCTTTTGCAATAACCAGTTAGAGCCTTACTCCAACAAGTTCAGGAATCCTTCCCAATTGATTATTAAATTCTTGAATCACTAACTAATTAATCTTTAATTAAATTTTCAAAAAATAATAAATTATTGATTTGAAAAAAGATATTATAATCGAGTTTTTATATAGGAGATACTGCACACGTTATTGAATCCAACGTGCGAGTGCAATAACAAATTAAATATTAAATTTTGGATCTCATTTAAAATTAAGAATGCCAAGAAATTTTAGTATATAATTAATCAATTAATTATTTTAGTTTAGAATAATTTAAACAGATTTTCACGATAGTTAATTTATATAGTTTTTTTTTTTTTTGAATTTCAGGAATAATCCATGAACAACATTGCTGTGAAACAATAATGGAGTTAAGAAATTTTTCCAAGCAAATAAAATATTTTTATTAATAAAATGATCAAATTATTGTAAGAAATGAGTAATCTATAATTGATACCCAAGAGACAGGGCTAGCTAATATAGTGGGTGGACCAAGATTCAATCCATTAACGGAAGAATCCTCAGCCTCAATTCATCACCTCAAAATAGACTGACTAGAATAGAAATCCTCTGCTCCTTTCTTACCCCATGCTTATATGAAAGTTGCGTAGTTATTGCTATGAATTCTGAATGGTTTTAATCATCATCTTGCATATATCATAATATGAATTCAGGATTTTGAATAAAAGATAATTATAAAGTAATTATAAAGATAATAATATTAATTATATAAACTTTTATATTAATAATATAAAATTAAAAATTGAGAAATGATAACTGTCACGACACGTCACTCCATTGACTCTGTCCCTAATCATAACTTAGTTTTACTAAATTTGTCACCACATGGTTGGGTTTCCTTTTTCTCTTAAACAATGACCATCTACAAGTATAAACTCTTAATCAAATGTGGTAATAAGGATTCAAGGAAGGAAATTGGTAGAACAGGCAAGGAAGGAGAGAGGCATCGAATGCAATCAAACCCATCATGACAATGCTAGTAGCCGTAAACTCAAGATCTTGAAGGGGTCAATTGCATGCCCAATTGTTGTGTTTCTGTCTTCTTCTTAATTTCTTACCCTTTTTGTCTATTTTAGACAATAGGTAGTTCTGATTCTGCTAATGTAAATAACCCAATTCAATTTAATTTTTTGAACACGTGATAGTAATCTGAACATGAGACAATAAGGTGAACATGGGACATAACAAGGTGGAAGAATTCTATTCTCCTTTTGCCTCATTATGCAATTTAACTTATTAGTGCAGTACTCTTTTTGGTTTCATTAATATTATCTTGTGATTTATTGTTTTATTTATATATTTTTAGCTATTTTAGAAACTTCTATGGATATAATAAAAATATAAAGACTCTACTCTGCTCTTACTCTGTGATTATTAGGCATTACTATCATTTTAAAATGATATATAAAGTAACTTTTTTATGCAATTAAATACAACTTTGCACTTTAATGTAGAATAAAAATGAGCCTAAACCATCTACAACCAAAGTAATAAGCGGTAGTGTTTGGAAGAAAGCCATTTTCTACTTCAACGGGAAGATTCTTAAACTGTCAAAGCGCAAATTCACGCCGTTATGATATTGGCTCTCATGTGAAAACAGCGTGTAAGGTTGGGGAAAGTATAACACCACAATTGACGGCAGTTGGTAATGTTCATAGTCGGCAGGTCACTACAAACAGTAGGAGAGAGGTGACAGTAATATGAACGCAGTTGAGAGTTGACGGTCAAGCTGACTGCAATGAGCGAGCCCGAGCTGCTGCTCTTTCCAGTGCTTTCATCCTATTAGCTTCCATCCGAGCACGCTGCTCTTCTGTGATTTGAGTTTCACTAGAGGAGCCAGCTCCAGCTGCAACTCTCTGTAGTGCCTTCAACTTGTTAGCTTCCATCCGAGCTCTCTGTTCTTCTGTGATATGAACTTCAGTGGAGCAGCCAGCTCCATTATTTGGCACTTGATGTTCTGGCCCTGGTCCAGAGCTGCTGGCTGCAACTACTTCGGCAGCAACCATTTCAGTGCGTACGTCATGAGATGGTTCCTATGGTGAAATGACGTGAGAATACCACCATTAAACATTGGCAGCACCAATAATACAGGTTCCTAAGGAACTCTGGACCCAGTAATGAACTTGCGAAAGTGTTGTTATGGAAAGAATTCAAGGATTTCCAAGAAACCAAGTGAAAAAGGATATGAAATGCAGTTAGTACACACATAAAACGTCAACAAGAGATTGAGCCTCTTTTTGCTTCTCACTTTCTTTTGCCAGTCTTTTACAAGCAGCAGTGACAACATATAAAGATAATAGCATATACAAAGTATCAGTTGTGAAAGAATGAAGACTTGCATAAACCTTCAACAAAGCTCGCATGATACTTTGCAATGTAAATCATGTTGGAAAGCTTATTTTTTGAGTTCCAGTGAACGAAAATGAACAAAATAAGATAAATATTTCATGAAGATACTATCTTTCTGAATATTGATTATTGAAGAATTACCGACCAGTCTGGTCAGATAGTACAAAGTCTGAAAAAGAGAAATACCAATCCTCCTGTGCCATGAACTCAATAGGGCGAAATCCTGAAAGATTCCTATATCCTAAACCTAATTCCTAGGTAGTCAACAAATTTTATAAACCCTCATTTTCTAACCCTACACCACCATACGCTCTTAAGTACAGTTCCCCAAAACTGTCCAACGTAACAAGCATAACTGGCATCTCCTACATATGAAAACGTTCATGAAAATAGGAAGTAAGAACCTATTGAAAAATCAACTCATTCACAAGTGACATTCTTTCTGCCTGACTTGTGAAGCCCAAATGTCGAAAACATCAAAGAGGACTGTGCGTTAAGCAAAACTCAGAGGTGTGACTTCTAGAATCAGCCAACACCAGTCTTAGCATCAATGATGCAACCATTTTCAACATAAGCACATCCTTCCTAATAATTAACACCAATTCATCCACTTAACAGAAAATGATTTTGCATTGTTGTACAGGAACACTAGTTTGCCAACTAATGGCCTTGAAAAATTCAAATATCTACAGCAGCAATCTAATTAAATAAAATAACTAAATGACATAGGATTACATCAATTTTTGAATGCAGGAACCTAATTAGCAATTATAGCCTTATTTTTATTTTGTTCTTCTAATTTTAAGAAAGCATAGATTTGTCATTTTTTTTTCTTTTACACTTCAATAAGGATCAAAACTAGTAGCTATCGACTTCAAAGTATATGCATGACTGCAACAAAAAGAAGAAAGATAACTAGGAGAAACAAGTCGAAAGGAATAATGGTTACCTCAGTAGCTTTTTGGTATATCTCATTAAGCATATTTTCCTCAATATCATGATAATGATCTCCCTCAAAGGGATCATGAGTTTGTCCCTCAGAATGTCTGGCCCCTACAGTGTTCACAGGCACAGATCAGATCCAACAAGACACTAAAAAAGGGAAGGTTATTAATTGTTACCTTAAAGTGCTATACAATATTTATGCCTCAAGCGACAAAACCACCCAATATACATGATTAGGTGCAAGGAAAAAAATCTCTTACAACAAAAAAATGGCAATATTGAAAGCATACCTTGCTCATCACTGGGACCATTATTTTCATCTGGACTTTCATGCAATTTTGTAGGATCCCCTCCTCTAGCAACTCGCTCTCTTAATTCTCTAATACAATTCTGCCCAAAAGAGATACAGCAAATGAATGATGTATGTATATATATAATCAGAAACTCAGCTAATCTAGAGGATCCACTACGTGGACCTCTACGCAAGCAAAATAAAAGCATATTCCTGTACATTGCCATCATGGGATTTAAGTTTACAGTTCACCCACGCTGCCGGTAATTTAGGCAAACAATGCAAATCTCTAGCGTCTAGATCAACGCAATTTCTTAGCAAAGGTGATGCAGAGCCAACAATCTCGTAGTAGAGCATCAAAAAAAGCTAATACGACATCTGAAACTGAATTGCTACAGAGATCCACATCTCCAAATCTCAATAACCCAAAGCTATGAGAAAGTGAATCACATAAAAACTTAGGGGCAACTCCTTTTAAATCTACCTTAAGCACCCAAAATTCAGTATAAATCCTTAAACACTAAACTTTAAGGGTTGAAAGTGAAAAAGGAAAATGAGTTACCTTAACTCGTTTGGAAGAAGCAACTTTGTCGGTTTTATGTACAAACTGTTCGAAAGAGTAATAAGGGAGCAAATGCCTGTGCCATTCTCTGTATAACCCAATTAATTTTCCCAAATCACTCACCTGCAAAAACATTCTTTCAACCTTAATTAAATCTGCCAAAAAAGAAAAAGAAAAACAGAGTGCTCATTTTAAAGTTAATTAAAAGAAAATAAAAGATACCTCGTGACCGCGACCGCGGTACTTAAAGACGCGAGGGAAGTGGCGAAGGATGTAGCCGAAACCATCATCGGAGAGGAGAAGTTCCGGAGTGAGCTTGGGTCGGATCCTGCTATTGGATACTTTCTTGGGCTTTTCGGGTCTAGGAAGCTGTTCTGGAATGAAGTTGGCGCCGGAGGAGGAAGCCTTGAGATTGGGTTGATCGGATTTGGGGGCGTCCGGGCAGTCACGTGACCAGTGGCCTGGTCGTCCGCACTTGTAGCAACCTGTTGCGGCTGAATTCGTCTTCTCCGTTGCGACTCTTCCCGGATTGGGATTGAGATTGGGGTGGTCGGATTCGGGGGCGTCGGGGCAGTCACTTGACCAGTGGCCTGTTCGTCCGCATTTGTAGCAACCTGTGGGGGCTGAATTCGCATTCTCCATTTCAACTCTTCTCACTTTTCTCAGATTTTAGCCTTTTGTTCCCATTTTGGAGTATTTATTTATTTACTCTATTTTCTACGTTTTCTTTTTGGCGGGAGATGATGGAGGGAAAAACTTTGGGCTTCTAATTTTAACATGGCATGGGCCCTAATTTAATAAAATAATAAAATTTTATTTAAATTTTTGTATATAATTTAAAAAAATTATGTATTATTTCCTGTAATAATTTGGTCATTTACATTATTAGATAAATTTGGAAGTAAAGCTTTTGAATTACCCCAATTCCATTTGATGATAATGCCTATATACACGGTGGATTGATAATGGTTTATTGATCATATTCATTCATTTCAATGATTTCAATTTCAAGTATTACATATTGATCAATAGGAAATAAAAAAGAGAAAAATAAGGACAAAAGTGCCAACGAAACACCTTTTTCTTACAATACAAACAACCCCAATGATAGGTGGAAATCACCACAAAAGCAAGGCAATAGACAAAACAGGATTCTTTAATGTGTATATATATATATATATATAAGTAAAATGCCTATCTTTGACACCATTGCTGAAAGGCTGGAGATCAGACCCTCAAACACCTTTGAACTTGAGGTATTATATACAAAAAAAACTCCCAAGCCGATGCAGCTTCATCAATTGTTTGTATCATTACGAAACTCTTTTTACTTCAATGATTTCCATCCCAAAATTGCTATCTAAAATGGCCCAACCATCTGAAAAGTTGGGTGGTCACAAATTACCAGACCAATCATAGTTCTGGTAAGCAATGTGAACAGGGCCTCCATCACTCAACAGATGTGTCAACAGCCCTGACCTGGTTGCATCCAGGTAATTGAGGACCCACTTCAAGATATCTTTCTCCTGTCCAAAATCTACGCTGAACCTGTAAAGGTCAAAATGCAGCATGTCAATTTGAATCCGGGTAATGCTGTTTGGATCAAATTATTTGATGTATTGAACACTTACCACTTGATGATCCGTGTTAAATGAACTGTCCTCTTTTCCAAATTAATCTCTATTCCTCCCCTCTGGAAGAACTCCCTTGCAGCACATCTCAGCTCACCTTCAACACCCTGAGGAGTGAAAAACCTCACTGTTGGGCTTGATCTTGTCCCATTGCATAGGCCAAAATGGATTAAGGGATTAACTTTAGCAGGAGCTAGCTGTCAGTTGAAAATAACAAAAATTAATAATCAAAACATATATGAATGGAATAAAAGTATGACCTGTGAGCTAGAATACCAAAAAAGATTGATGAAGTTGATTACCTCTAAGCGTCTGTCTCCATTGCCAAGGGGCCTGATCAAGGAGTATTGGGACTTTCGATTGTTTCTGAGGATCCCATTCTCTATAATGCTAAGGGAATAAGGGAATCCCCCAACAACATACTGGAAATCACAGTAAAAAGCTCTCTTATCAAGCAATCCTTCAGGATGTCCAATGCTAATCACAGCATGGATAACCATGGCATTGTATAAGTTTAAGAAGAAGGCTAGCCTCTCATCTGGAGAGAGTAACTGCAGATTGATCCTTTGGAGATCTCGTGCCAAAATCAAGTACCTGCACCAACATTAAAAATGAAGTTTAAGCTATCAGGATTGGATGCCATTCTGCACCAAGTCTATTTCTATGCTGCAAAATGAAATCAACCAAGTAATGTAAACAGGAATGAAGGAGCAAACATACCTGCGGAATTCTTCACTTTTGCTGATGGCATAATAATTAAGACGGCACATGTCATCAAAAGCATATGCTTCAAGTATGGCAGACATTAACTTGGTAAGCCGGTCGGCTAGAAACGATGCCGATTTGGGTTCACTATCGTTTGTTGAGTTTCGAAAGTTGAAGCATCCCAAAATAAATGGCTCGTGCTCAAGGAATCGATAAAAATGTTTTCCTTCTTCAAAATCATTTCCCCTACACAAAATTAGTAAACAAATTAGCAACAAAAAAGGGTTATATATAGATGATAAGTATGTTGAAAAGTAGCATTAAAACTAATAACTTTATCACTTAATTAGTGTAATGTATGAGAGAATGTTCCTACCCAAAGACATGGTGGATGAAGTGCTTCTGGGCCAGCCGCTTTGCAGTTTCAATGCCCTATAAAATATGAAGGATAAAAAATGTAAGAAAAATAGTAAACTCAATTTATTAACTGCAATTGTCTTTAATATTGTACATAAAATATCTTTTAATTAAATCAAAAAGAGGTTTTTTTTTCATTTTATAAATTTATTTTAAAAATTGAACTCGAAATCTTTGAAATAAAGTTGAATGATGATCATCTAAAATTAGAAAACTAATGATAAATTAAAAAAAAAATTGACTTCCTAATTCATTCATGCAAATCCTAGAAGCAAGGTGTGGGGCACAAAAAAAGCCTATAAATTTGGCAGGATGGATGGCAAAGACAAGGACGCTGAGCGTTCAAAACGTGTAGGCCCTTGAACACTTGATTGAATTTCCCCTTTCCCCAAAGATTAAGCAACTCTTTATTCAAATATAATATTAAGATTAATATTTTATGTATTGATAATATATAGTTTCTAAACACGATCAAATCATCAAATTTTGATACTTTATTAATAAAGATTATTATTTTGAAAAAAATAAAAAGTTGACAAGTTTTAACATCAATCTTTTATTTCTTTCAAAATAATAATTATAAATGAAGTGTCAAAATTTTATAATTTAATAATGTTTGGACACTATATATTATATTTTTTCTTAATTTAAATGAATATATATGGTGTTCTTTATTCTTAAGATATATACATATGAACTTGTACAACATGAACACCCAATATCGTGTTACAAACTAATTTCACTAAAATTGATTTAACAATAAATACATGTATCTCGACTTAAGAAATAGACCGCTCTGGAAACAAACACCAAACGAAATCAAATATCATCCACAACCCAAATTGGCAGTCAATTCAATGAGGGGTTTTCCTCTGTAGGGCATCTATCTGTTTGCCTTTGTTCAGAAAAAAGCAGAAAAGGAAAGCTAATTTATGACAGCAAAAATGTACTAATCATTTGGCTTTGGACATTATATTTATATTGGTCCATGTCAACACGCATAATGCCTGTAACTTAGGTTTTTTGGGCTGTAAACCTATAATTGTAACATAAGTGATGTTGCTAATCCACAATTATTAGTGCTTAATATGTAATATTATCAATATAATTGATCATCATTTCGATTTTCAATCGGTAGCAATAACAATGTACTTTAATAAAATATGAATGTAAACGGATGAATGTGGTGGTCATCATACAAGCACTCAAGCGTGCCGCGTGCGCACCATCATTAGTGTCGCGTGTGTGTTGGCATTTGGTCCTAGAAGACAGCAGCTTTTTTTTTTGGCTTTTGAATTTCGAAAAAGAGAAAATCAAGATATTTTTTAATATAATATATAAAAATTAAATAATTTTTTATTATTCTACTCCATTCAATTAAGTTTATATTTTTATGTAATAAAAATTATTTATATTTTTTAAAATATTTTAAGAACTTTTTATGAAAATATTTTCGATAAAGATTTAATGCATATATGAAGTGTCGTTTATTATTCCTACTATGCTTAAAGCATTTAACCTTTTGACATAAGTAAACGGATGAGATGACCAATAACCAATTAGCAACCAAAACTGAAAATCAAAGAATATAGGGAAGAAGTAAACGAACCTTTCTTCGGCCGCAGTCTAGGTGGTGAATGATGGCTTCCACCATATCAACACCGGCGAAGCAATTCTTGACAATCTTCATCTTAATCAAGCGGTCCTGAATGGGCAAGCTCTGTCTCAGAACCTTCACGATCCCCACCATCTCATCTTCTACTTCTTCCTCATCGTCAAATCCATAAACCGGTATCTCAGGCGCTTCCTCAGGGCATTTGTTCCCCAACAATTCCTTCATTCTCTTATCCAACTCCCCACTGTTTCTCAACGAATTCAACGTTACCAATCCACCTAACAACTTCTCGTTGAAGAATATCTGAGGCACCTCGGAACTTCCCGTTCTTTCGACCAACTCCTTGGCCCTTTTGGGGAACACGTCGACGTTTATTTCAACGTATCTAAACCCTTTTTCTCTAAAGAATTTGCGAACAGCGGTGCAGTCTCGACAGTTTGACCTAGTGAAAAACGTTATCCGACCTCGTAACTGTTCTCTTTCGTCTTCGGTTTTCAGCTTCACTATAACTTTGACTCCTGGGATTTTGAACTCTGTCACCTCGAAGTTTAACGAATCGTTTTCCACGACGAAATCCCCGCTATCCTCTTTTAAAGACGATAGACGTTTGACGATTGCTGCTGAGAAAGTGCTGCTTCGGTCTCTGATGTATTTCCCTATGGAAGGCATGTTTTCGGCTATGGACATGGATTGTGAACGTTCTACTTTTTGCTGCGGTGGCTCGGGTCTGGGGAGATGAACTTGTGCCTTGATTGCTGGTATGTAATGATTGTAGCCATTAACTTTGGTTTCGGGATTGACCTCCTTGGCGTTGGACTGGTGGTTTTGGTTAACGTCGGGGGAGTTGGAAGTAGAACTAGAATTAGAATCCTCCTCCTTCTCTTGTAGCTGCTGGGCCTCCTTCTCTTCACTTTTCTCCATCTCGACATCGGAGAATTCTCCTCCATCTTGATCATCCGACACGGCTGTTCCATTCACTTCGCCGTTGGGATTATTGTTCTGATCGTCGACTCTGTGTTGCTCCGAGTCCATATTCAATTTCTGAAAGAAAACAAGAGACGAGGAAATGAAGGAAAAATTATCAAGAAGAAAGAAGAGCACGGAGAAACAGAGCGATGAAAACGGGGAGAGCCAATGGAGGGGAAATACAGATACGATGAAACGAAAGAAACTAAATAACTAAATAAATATAAAAGAAAGAAGAGGTCAAAAACGTGAAGACAGAGACGCCCTTTTTCTGTTTAGACTTACCCAAAAACAAAGGTGGCATGAGTTGAGAGACTGACCGGCCCCTCAATGGAGGAAAATTAGATTCTGGGTCCCACTGTTCGCGTATTTTTAGGGTGAAATTTGGGATAATGTTGTTTGGTGGACGTTAATCTAGGGGTAATGGAGACTCGGCTGAGTCAAATGGGTTTACAAAAGTCCATTGCCCGGATATGATTCCTGGGAATACTGAATCAGTCATTTTTATCCAAGTGGCATCGGGTGGAATCAGATCAAATCAAAGCCGCCCAACACATTTACATGTCTTTTTCGTGCTTACAATGTTAACCATTATTAAAGACTAATTCTTTTTTCCTTGTTCGGATTATTTCAAGGATGATCATAGCATTTGGCATAAGCAGATCCGCCTCTGTTCATGCCTTCCTGCACGTTGCTTGATCAAAGTTTTAATATAACAGTACCCACATCAAGATTTTGTAGAAAACGTCAACTGCTTTTCTTTTCTTTTTTTATCCAAAAGGCAACTCTTTTTTTATTATTAACAAGAGAAAAGGGGTTGCTTGGGTTTGTTGTCCCAAACCCATAATTTTAATCTAAAAATATACTTTTCATAGGGGTGAGTAATTAAATGGTTTGATCTGTCATACTTAGAGATTAAGTATTTTAAAAAATTAATTAAAATCAATTAAATATAAAAATAATTGAATTGATCGAACGTCAAATTGGTTTGATTAGTTTAATTTTAGATAAAAAAATCAAAATTTTTTCTCTTTTTTTTTGTAAATTATAATATCAAAATTTATAAAATTTATTCATAATTATAAATTATAAAATTAAAATTAATATTAAAAATATAAATTTTATATAAATTAAAAATTAAATATATTATTATATATTAATATATATAATATTAATTTGATATTTTAATAAGCTTGATTTAAAAATTTTAAAATCGAGAACCAATCAAATAAATCAATTAGACTAAAGTTTTTGGACCATTATACCCAATCGATCAATTGGACCGAATCTTTTTATCCAAATCTCATTCAGTTCGATTAAGTTATCGATTTAGTCTAGTTTTGCTCATACTACCTATTACATAGAGGAAGGTTCTTACCCTAAAAGTTCCAAATTTATTCTGTCTCTTGTTGATATGAAATCAGTGACATTTAATCCAAACTTTACATGACTAACAATGATTTTTGTATCATTAGTTCAAGTAGTGAGACATAAGCAACTCTTATTTTAAAATTCAGATTGTTACGTCAATATCATTTATATAAAATTTAATCTTTACACCACTTGTTTTGTTATGTACACTTACAAAGGAGTGTGAAGCCTAATTAATCAGATTAAGAAATTTAAGTTTCATTTTATTATTTAAAAAAAAAAATAAAAAATAAAAATATGGACCAAACTTAATCTTAATTGCTTTACTCATGGAAAATATATAATAGCATTGGTAGCTCTCCACTTAAACAAAAAAGTTCACTCTACCTATTTAGAAATTTAATGTTCAATCCAATATTCAAACTCTCTATAGAACTGCCTACCTTAATCCATTTATCAACTTCATTCAGATCATAAACCACCATTAGTTTTCATTAAAAAAGTTATAATTTGACTACTTTTCTCCACTTGTAGTAAATGAAAACAGGATACAGACTTGGAACATCTTGGTCACTTTACTAGCTGGACCTTTCCTACAAGTAGGAAATAAACAGGCATCAAATTGAAGAAGTATTACAGACTTTGGCCAATGGGGCCTTGCCTAGTGGCAAAGAAAAGTCTCAAAACCTTAAAAGTCTCACGTTCAAATCTCATTATGTATGATAAGCTAGGTCCAATTTTATGTTGTGTTTGCCTAATTATATATTACCCACATTGCTGCTCAATAAAGCAAACTCTCATCTTTGTGTACAAGAATCAGGATTGAAATCAACAAAAAAATTTAAAGATTTAGTCAATAGGTTAACAAGTAGAAGCTTATATTATATAGATGGGGAAAAAAGAAGGCACATAAAATAGCGATTATTAATTAAAAATTTGTTAAATATGAAAGATTAGAATGAGTTGAATATTAAATCATATGATGGATGCCACACTATCTATGATTAAAGCTGTCTATATCAGGTAGCTGGTCATTTCTGGGCCAAGCTTGAGCTATATGATTCAGACTAAAAATTTATCAGTCTTTTCACTAAAGTGAGGAAAAGCCCACAAGTTAAAGTCCATTGTAGTAAATGGATAGTTAATAAGTCCCAATGATCACAACCCAAATTTTTGGGACTGAAAGGTAGCAAGAAAGCCCAAGGTTATCTAATTCTGTTTGAGACATATCCCAGACCCAGACATGTCCTGTGGTTAATTTAAATAGCTCTGCCAGAGTTTGAGCTCTCAGTAAAAATTAAAGGGAACCTTTGACCTGTCTTTAATTTTTGTTACCAAGACTGCCATACATTCAATTAGCAAGATAGGGATAGTGCATTGCTAAAATGGAAACTAGCCATGCATGTAAGTGTGTATCAAGGTATGCATGCCCCTGATTCTGATCTATTTTACCATCTTTGGAATTAATGGTTGTATTTTTGGAACTATATTTATGTAGTTTTAATAATTTAATTGAATTGAATAGCCTATTGAGAGAATTTAAACTCTTTTTTTTTTCAAATATTTGTACTCTTTGCATCGATAAAATTTTCAGTTTCAAGGATTGTTCCGAAAATTTGTCAAATAAAGTTTTTTTTGGATTAAATAATAAAAAATAACACTCTATAATCTTCTTAATTTCATTTTTTAAAATAAAATTTATAAATTATAATCACTTTGAGATATCTTTCAAAATGAAATTATCAAAAATTATATTCAAACTTAAGGGGGCATTTTACCAATTTCATAAGCAACAACGAATTAAATCCAGGTTAATTTTAATTATTTTACATGATATAAAAAGAAAAAATGGAAAAGAACTCATCAGATCAATACCAATAACCTAAAATAGCTAGGAAGCCATAAACTTGGGCTACCAACCCCAGTTTGCCTTTCAAAGAATCCTCAAGCCTCTTTCTTCCTTTGCAATAAATTGTTTTATTATTCCAAAAACAACCCATGTATCACCCCTACCCCAGTTTAGTCCTATTAGATAGCTTAAAGGGAGTTGACCTTGGCATACTTTAAACCAAGTTTGCTCTGTAAGTGACTTATATATTTAGTCATTTTTATTTGTATATTGTATGATAAGGCATGTTACCCAATATATATTCATCAATGGAGTTCCTCATTATTCCAAAAAACAAAAGAAAGAGTTCCCCTTGAATATAAAATGAGGAATGAGGGGTGGCTACTGGCTAATGCTCATCTCCTTTTTGAGGTTAACTTTTTAAAAGTACTGATTATGAATTTTGTAATTAGCACAATGTCTAATGATGATGGGTTTGCCAATATTGAGTGGATGGCAAATTACAACTAAAACCATGGAATTTTCTAATTCATTTCTTTATTTATTTATTTTTCTGGGTTGGATTGTGGATGGTTGAAACCTTCCTTTGGAGATAGCAATAATTTATAAAATATTAGCAGCCAGGAAAGTTGAACTAAATCAAAAGTTGGGTTTGCATTTTCATTTTATTATATATATAAAAGATCAAATGATGACTTTAATTTTGTGCAGCCAAACCCTTAGAAACTCTGTCTAGTGGATGTAATCACATTTTTCAGCCTTTCATTTATATATACATGTACACAATTGGGTTGATGATATGTTCTTGTCCATCCATGGTAGAAAAGTTTGAGAGTTGGAAGAAGAGCTGCCATTATTTTATGTAGACAAATATATATATGTATAAATTAATGCAGTCCCACATACTCTTGCTTTCTTGTTCAAAATATTAATCTCAGTTAACAACAAAAATGGGTATAAAATCAAAGTAGAAGCAATCACAAAGCTGCTTGGCAAACTACAAAGAGCCACATAAACTTGGCTGGTCGGCCAACAGAAAGGCAATTAGTGGTGGGTCAAATTTCTTTTTTTTTTTTTTCTGATTGAAAACTGATGGCAGAATTAGTAAAATAAAATGCAAATGATGGTTCCTTTTTGCTCCTTAATGCTTCATCATTATTCGTTAAAGAGACTGGGGCAGCACTGATATATATATATATATATATATAGATTTGCCTTATCTGAGCACTGGAGAGATATGTAGTGCTTGCCATTCTTTCCAGCCCATGCCCCATCAGTCCTGTGCTATCTCCCTTCTTTTTTATTCTCTAATGTTAACACTAAATAGTTGGTGAATTGAGATGTCCAGCTTCCATTAGGCAATGCTTGCTCAATTGGTTGGTAAACATCAAAATTCATCATATAATATTGTATCCAATAAGATTACTCACTAATCTTTCTATGATCTCTAAGAAGGATATAACAACTGCTAAATGATTGTCGTATTCATATTGGACTGTTGGTTACCAGTATTGGCAGCTGGTATAAGCTAAAGAACCAATGTCATGAAGGTACCAAAATGACCAGTTTGTGGACAGTGAAAGACCCTTTTGTTAGAAGCTCTCTTGAAGAAGTCTCTGACCAAAAACCATCAAGAGTACAACTTTGAGATGCTACACTTATTCATCTTGAGCATATTCGAGATTGGCCCAATGAACTTTCCCCTCTTTATCTTCATTCATCTGTCCAAAACGCGCCTGCTTTTCCTAGTTCTTTCCTGATTTGTTTTGACAATGGACACACATTATAAAGTTTAGTACTAGCTATATGTACAATATAAAGATTGGCTCAGGCACTGAACTGACACACACACATACAAAAAGCAAAGCGAATGTTGGCTCACGATGTGACCTGCCTTGCTTCCCAGAAGTTTCATCAGGGGGGCATCTTCTGAAGTTCTCTCCATTCAGACTTTTCCGTAGCTGTATGAAACTGAAAACCCAAGTCATCAATTTTTTCAACATAATCAACAGTTGGTTTAAAAGAAATTCTTGGATTCATAGTCTCCTCCAAAAAAAAAAAAAACACTTCAACATCTATTATTCAAGGACTTTGATTTTCTTTCTTAGATAAAATAGAGTCATCACTGATTCTGCAAATGCGCGTTGCAATAGTGGATTTTTATATCTATTTTATCTTAAGGTAGGACGGCGGAGAAGTAATGATAAAAACAAGAGATAATGCTCTTCTCTTTGCAGTAATAAACTTGGGCTCGAAGGAAGGATCTAACTAGGCTTCCATTTTCCTCATTTTTGTCTAACAATTTGCCTTTTTTGCTTTCAAAGCTAAAAAGCAATGAAGTGCTTTTAACTATATATAAACAAATAATACATTTGAATATTTTTTTAAAAAAATTAAATTTTATGAAATGATAAATAAATTATTACTCTAACCTTGATTCAGGGTTTAAGAAAATTAGTGTGAATACTTAAGTTTCGGTGTCGATGCCAACTTAATTAATTTTTTTAGTTATGTATTTTAAATTAACATTTAAGCATTTAATTCCTTGATAAAATGTTCAGTGCTTCGTGGGTACAAGTCAATTAAATATTTTGCATGCGTCATGCAATCAAGAGTTGACATTTGTACGAATTGAGAGCGTCTTCCCTCCCCCGACGTCATCAGCAAAGCTGTTGCAGCCATTTTTGAAATGAAATTTGATCATCAATTCCTCACTAAAGTCAATCATCCCGTTCCCTTAGAGGTGGTCAACTATTGCCCCTGCTAACTTCCTATATATTTTTCATTTCTTTAAGCACAAGTTGAAACATAAAAACAACACCATGAATTGATCAAAATATAACAAGTAAAATCTTTAAAGGATTAATGCAAAAAAAAATTATATAAATAATTAAAAAATTAAGATAATGTTACGGATTTCACGTTAATAAGAGATGAAATAAATTTTGAATACATAAATATAAATCTTTCATTGTCTATTAATTATATTTTTTAAATTAAAAACGTGATTTATAAACTTACTTAAATTTTATTTTTAAAGTTTCAAATTATACGAGATTGAACTTAAATTTCAACCCGTGATGGATAAGGCAAAGTCAATTAACATTTAATTTATTATTACAAAACATGTCAAAGATGTATTTGTAATTTCTAGACAGCTCATCTTGTGAACAACTTTCAATGTATACATATATATATATATATATATAGAGAGAGAGAGAGAGAGAGAATGGTGAAAAATTTTTAATTGATATATATATATGATAAAAATTAATGTTGGTAAAACTTTTTGTTGATGAAAAGGGTATAGTTGTTCATTATATTTTTGAATTATCATTTTGAATAATTTATTATTATTATTATTATATATTAATGAGATTTATGAATTTATAAATAAGAATTTTAATTGCATTAAATGAATTTCATCAAAAATATTTTTATTATGAATATTAAAAATTCTAATTGCATTGAATAACTTTCATTAAAAATATATATTTTTAAAATTTAATAATATTAAATAATATAATTTATACAATGAATGTTTTGGACATCTAAACCTTAAGACTTGGCCTTTCATTAGAGGTCGGCACAGTTTTACACAATATTTGACTATTTCCCTAGTAAAACGTCACTGCCAAACTTTGATCTGGCCCCTTGACTATATATATATATACACCCCATCAAATGCTGGCCACCTTTAAAATTAAAAAAGCATAAATTATATTTTTTTATATTTACTTTCAAATGCGCGTTTTAATTTCTAACAGCATATAATATGAATAAGCAAGCATTGAATATTTGAGGGAAAATATTAGTATTTTTCTATATTAAATTAACACATAATTCACAATTAATTTGATGATTTTCGATGTATTAGATGGAGATATTATTTTTTACTTCCATATAAAATCTTTTTAAGTGTCTTTAGACTAACAAAACAAACGCCGTAGCAAAATCTTTTCACTTTAGTTAATAAGAGGAGCAACAATTAATTCAAAAACCTTTTCTCTTATCATCATCCTATCTTATGTCTCAATTTTTTCATAAATTTTGAGAAAAATAAAATCATAAAAAAAAACAAAAAACCCATAAGTAATTTTCGTATTATATATGATAATTAAAGTCTCACTTAATAAGAGGAGAAGCAAGCCATGTATGTATTGTTCTTGTTAAACAATCAAAAAGGATTAATAAAATTAAAATATCTTGAATGTTTTTATATATATGTATATGTATTTAAATAGATTTAGGCTTGTAGCAAACTAAAGTAAGGAAAATTTAATGAGTCAATTCGAAAACTCATCATATACACTGCATTATTTGATTGTGATTAATTTTTTCTAAGGTGATGTAATTAAGTTTGTTTTAATCTCAAAAACCAAAAAAATGCTATAATATATTATAATGAGCATTTACATGAAACGTATGAAATATATGCATTATTTTTATTATTAGATAAATCAAACTCTATAATCGAAAATGATAAAATATCCGAATTTATTTCGAATTTCTTTTATTTTTTAATTATTTTTTCAAAATATTTTGTACAAAGGAGGAAAGGTTTTATTTCTTTTTATTGATATATTATATATTTTTTTCATAAATGTTTTCGTATGAGATACATATCAAAATATTATTTTTTTTCATAATATCTAAATAATATAATTTGTACTATATATAACATATGGATATAATGGTAGTTGAATTGTATTAAGTTAGTAAAATAAACTATATGGTTAAAAGCATATAAAAATACAAATAGGATGATAGGGAAGTCACAAGCAAGAGATGATAAAAGTTTTGTCACTTCTCTCGTCCGTATATTAACACTTGGCATTGTTTATTCTCAAAGTCAAGTTCTTACCTTGCCATTATTCTAAAGTATAAAAATAAATATTGACACTCAGTTCGTTATTTTTTTATTTTTTAATAAATTATAATTATAAAATGATAAATAATTGATTAGAGATAATAAATAAATGGCTGAAATGAAATACAGTTTCAAAATAATTACTTTATATAAAATATCATTTCTTAACTTCTAATATTTTCTAACTATTTTTATTTGTAAAAAATTAAAAGTGAGTAACAAAAAATAAATAATTAATTAAACTTTATTCTAATTTAGTGATGTGAATAGTAAGGGTGGCTGGCGTTGTTTAGAATACTCTATCCACGTGTCGCCACCCAGCTTTTGACTTTCCCTTTCCTTCTACCCTGCCCTTCCTCCCACCGGCTGCACCCGGTCACCCCCACCTCAACAAGTAATTCTTTACTAGTGGCTGCTATTTTCTATTATTTAATTCTACCTCTTATTTGTATTTTAATTCTTTTAACTATTTATACCATGGAGTAAAATGTTGAAATGAGAATTAAAATTAAGGATAATAGATTAAAAATAGGTATATAGTGGGAAAATTGTTCTTTTCATGTAAACAAAAATGAACTTTTTTTGGGAATTTATTTTATTTGAAATTTAAAATTGTTCTTTTTGGGAATTTAATGGTGTTTTCGAGAGCTTTTCTTGTAATTTTATCTCAATAGGAAGATTAAAAAACAGCTGATTATTCTTCAATGCCACAAAGTCAAAGCTACTTTCAATAAAATGCAAATAGTCAGAGATTAAGAAGACGACTTTTCGGTTGAAGTCCAACTGGCACCTGTGACTCGACCGGCCATCCCCGGTCATACCTACAGTTTACCGGTAGACCGTTTTATGAGACTATGAGCGTAGCCTCCTCAAAGAGAAGAGATAGTTGGTTGTCTCTATTCTGCTTTACATCTGCCAACGGCTTTATTGGCGCAAACGAATCTCTCTCCCTCTCACCCCTTGAAAGGACAAACAAAAAACTAGAAAAGAAAAAGAGAAACCACCCTACATATCTCTATCTCTCTTCTCTCTGTTTCAACGCTCTCTTTTGATAGCCAAAATGAAACAATTGAAAGAGATAGAGAGGAGATAGAAGCAAACCAAAAGTTGAAGGCAAAACCTCTTTCATTCATTCATATGACAGCACCCGCCCCCCTCCCCCCCCTCCCCCCAAAACATCCGTGTTGAAGTCAAAGCCACCATTTTGCTCTCTTTCTATCTTGTTCTTTTCCTTCCTCTTCACTTATTCTCCTTATTAGAACAACCTACCCTCCTGTTTTCAGCTCTTATCCTCTACCCCGAAGCTCAAAATGGTTCAAACAATAAAAACCCACACCAAATATCTTGCTTTTTGTAATGCTTTTTGCTTGTTTTTGATCCTCAACATATAAAGTATCTGTCTTTTCGTTTCCCTCCATCTTGGGTTTTGTTGGTTGTTGCTTTTTGCTTCTATGGGTACTCAAGATTGTTGGGTTATGGTTGTTATCCTTGTGTTCTTCTTCCAAGCTCAGTTACTCAACTCACAAATCCTGACATGCAATCCAAAGGACTTGACTGCACTCCAGGGTTTCATGGGCAATTTGACAACAAAACTTGAAGGTTGGACGACAAATTCATCAACTGATTGTTGTGACTGGGAAGGCATAACCTGTGATCCTCCATCTTCTGGTAGAGTAATCAAGCTGGAACTTTCCAAGAAAAAATTATCAGGCATATTATCTGATTCTTTAGCTGGTTTGGATCGGCTTAAAACTCTCAATCTTTCCCACAATTTCCTTAAAAACTCACTGCCAGTATCTTTGTTTCATATGCCCAAGTTAGAGATTCTTGACTTGAGCTATAATGACTTCTCTGGACCAATCCCAGAAAGCATCAATCTTCCTTCAATTCGAAATCTTGAAATTTCGTTCAATTACTTGAGTGGCTCTCTTCCTTCCCATGTTTGCGTTAATTCTACTCAAATTCAGTTCCTTAGTTTGGCAGTGAACTATTTCTCTGGTAATATTTTACCAGGGCTTGGAACTTGTTCTTCCTTGGACAAACTTTGTCTTGGCATGAATGATCTCACCGGTGGGATACCTGAAGACATCTTTCAGCTTCAAAATTTGACCCTTTTGGGGCTTCAAGATAACAACTTCTACGGAGAGCTTAGTCCTGGTATTGCTAATCTCTCTAAACTTGTTCGTTTAGATATTTCTTCAAATAATTTTTCTGGAGAGATCCCGGATGTCTTCAATCAGCTACAGAATTTTCAGTATCTTATAGCTCATTCAAATAAATTTAGCGGTAAAATTCCCAGTTCATTGTCCAATTCTCCAATCATTAATTTGCTAAATTTGAGGAATAATTCTTTGGAGGGTTCTATAGATCTTAATTGCTCAGCTATGGTTGCTTTGAACTCCCTGGATTTGGCTACGAATAAGTTTAATGGGCCTGTGCCTGATAATCTTCCCTTATGTAGACAATTGCAAAATATTAATCTTGCCCGGAATAATTTCAATGGCCAAATCCCTGAGAGCTTCAAAGAATTTCATAGCCTTTCGTATCTTTCCCTATCGAATTCGAGCCTCCATAATATTTCCTCTGCTCTGCAAATTCTGCAGCAATGTAGGAATCTAACCACTTTAGTCCTCACCTTGAATTTTCCTGGTGAAACATTACCTGATGATCCTAATCTGCATTTTGAGAAGCTGAAGGTTCTGGTTATTGCAAACTGCAGACTTAAAGGTTCAATTCCCCAGTGGTTGAGAAACATTACTGCTTTGCAGTTGTTGGATTTATCATGGAACCATTTGGCTGGAACAATTCCACCATGGTTTGGAAGCTATAGGGATCTCTTTTACTTGGACTTATCGAACAATTCGTTTACAGGAGAGATCCCAAAAAGTTTAACTGAATTACCAAGCCTCATTGATGGAAATATCTCGCTGCAGGAGCCTTCACCAGACTTTCCTTTCTTCATGAAAAGGAATGAAAGTGCGGGAGGATTGCAGTATAATCAAATTTGGAGTTTTCCACCAACACTTGAACTTGGTCACAACTTTCTTAGTGGACCAATCTGGCCAGAGTTCGGGAATCTGAAAAAAGTTCATGTGTTTGATTTGAAGTTCAATAATTTATCCGGACTGATTCCGGGGAATTTGTCTGGGATGAGCAGCTTGGAGATTCTGGATCTATCGCATAATGACTTATCAGGGACCATACCACCCTCACTGGAAAGGCTCAGTTTTCTGTCTACATTTAGTGTTGCCTACAATCAGCTTTCTGGGAGGATCCCTTCTGGAGGTCAGTTTCAGACATTTCCAAATTCAAGCTTCGAAGGAAACAATCTTTGTGGTGATCATTGGTCCCGGTGTCAAGATACTACTAGTGAAGATGGTCATGAATCCCCAAAAAGCTCAAGAAGAAAGAAGGATATCATCATTGGAATGGTTGTTGGAATCATACTTGGGACAGCTTTGCTGCTTGGCCTTATGTTTGTGATTGTGTTGCGTGCGCATAACCGGGGTGAGGTTGATCCTGAGAAAGAGGAGCCTGATTCCAATGATAAAGATTTGGAAGAACTCAGTTCAAGGCTAGTGGTCCTCTTCCAAAATAGGGAAACCTACAAAGAGCTCTGCATTGATGACCTTTTGAAGTCAACCAACAATTTTGACCAAGCAAATATCATTGGTTGTGGGGGTTTTGGTTTGGTTTACAGAGGCACCCTCCCTGATGGTCGTAAGGTCGCTATTAAACGGCTCTCTGGTGACTGTGGTCAGATGGATAGAGAATTCCGTGCTGAAGTTGAAGCACTTTCAAGAGCACAGCATCCAAATCTTGTCCATCTGAAAGGTTATTGCATGCATAAAAGTGACAGACTCTTAATATATTCTTACATGGAAAATGGTAGTTTGGACTATTGGTTGCATGAGAAGGTTGATGGACCATCCTCGCTAGATTGGGAAACAAGGCTGCAAATCGCACAGGGGGCGGCTAGGGGTCTAGCTTATTTGCACCAATCATGTGAGCCTCATATTCTCCACAGAGATATAAAGTCAAGTAACATTCTTTTAGATGAGAATTTTAAAGCCCACTTAGCCGATTTTGGTCTTGCAAGGCTCATACTTCCCTATGATACCCATGTAACTACTGATCTGGTAGGGACATTAGGGTACATACCTCCTGAGTACGGGCAAGCTTCTGTTGCAACCTATAAAGGTGATGTGTACAGTTTAGGAGTTGTGCTTTTGGAGCTTCTGACTGGGAAAAGGCCCATGGATATGTGCAAGCCAAAAGGATCCCGGGATTTGATCTCTTGGGTGATTCGCATGAAGATCGAAAATAAGGAGAGCGAGGTTTTTGATCCATTTATCTATGGCAAGCAGCATGATAAGGAAATGTTGCGGGTTCTTGAAATTGCATGCCTTTGTTTAAGTGAAATCCCTAAGGTTAGGCCTACAACTCAGCAACTAGTCTCTTGGCTTGACAAAGTTGACATCAGCATCTAGCTGGGTAATGCAACTATGGCAAACTCTGGTTGTACAGCTAGAAATATTTCTCTTAGACCCATTGTTGCAGAAGCTCCAACACAAGTAGAAGAAATTGGTAGCTTTTCATAGTAATGTCATCCTGTTGTAAATATTACTCCACGTACGTGGCCTATCAGATTTTGCTGCTCTCCAACTTGGATGACAGGGAGGGATCTAACAAAAGCAACAAGCAATTTTATCTCAAACTTTGTAAGTTTTGACATTCAAAGTTAGTGTCTTACGTGTAAAGAATAAAGTGTTATTTTTTTTTGTATGTAATGGTGGTTCATATTTGATGTGAAATGAGAAGATTCTCTTCAGATCATTTTGCATGTGTTTTTGTCTGTATGAATCATGTGATTTTGATAGTTGCATGCCTTTCAGGAACTTAAATGAATTGGTTTGGACAAGCTTTTCTCTCTGACTGGCTTTGTTGGTTCGGTGCAATGAGGATTTTCTATTTCTGACCAAATCAAAACCCTGATAATGTCTTGAGTGGATTAAGAGAGAGAGAGAAGGGGGGCTTGTAAGGAGACAAAGAAGAATCCATGTTTTAGAAGGCATGCTTATTGCTGGCTCAATTGCTTCATTATAGTAGTTAGTAACTAGCGGTATGTTAATCGCAGTATGCAAAGCACCATCGTATTGCTCCTGTTTCCAATCATGTCATGTGTCCAGGTTCTTGCTACATTTGCATTGGATTATGGATTAGGGTGTTCTATCTCCAAAATAGGAACTGGACGACGAGAAACTTAACTGTGTTGAATAAATACTGGATTCTCGTTGTCAAAGATATATCGTTTCCAGGTTTTTGCTATTCTGCAACTGGTTGGATAGTGCAAGAGCAAATTGGGTGAACGACATGATTTTACTATGTCGAGATAAACGGTCATATACTCCAGCCTTGGCGCCCGTGTGCTGTGCTCTTCTGAGAAATTGTTTTTGACAGCTGAATCTTACAGGAATACAATGTGAAATATGATTAGAATGCTCTGTTTAGAGATACTTTAAGCTTGTTCCTGTGGTTTTGTAGGTTTATATAGGTAAGAAAAACTTTGCAATCTCTCTGGGCAGTTGGAGTAAGTGAGAAGTTGTGGGTTCTAATGGTGTTGGTTGCAGACAATGAAATACTATCAAACTAAAACCACTAATTGTAAAAAAGGATCAAACCATTTGACCTTTATAAACACCAAATTCTTGGTCCACAGAGCGGAACAGAAGAACTTTCTTTGTCCACTACGTTTGTGGAAAGACAAATTTTTTTAGTAAATTTTATAGCAGACTAATGGCCAACTGGTTCCTATTTTATGTCCTTTGCAGGATTGACCAGCTGTCTGGTTTTAACTGAAAATTGTGTACTAAATTAGCAAGGGGTGGCGGGTCAACTCAGGCAGCGGCCATGCCTTGCCATCATATGGTTGGTTTTTCATTTGGGGGGAACTCTTCAACTGTGTCTCATTTTGTATCTGAATTCTTTTCACAGTTTAGTGCAAGCAAAGTCAAAAATTGAACAAAAAACTGATGCAGAATATGAGGAAAGCAGATGTGGGTGGATTAATCTAGACATGACTTTTGAATTCAGAATTTTCATATTCTTCTGTCAAGTTTCATAACTATGGAAAAAAGGGGCATATCTGCATGTAAGATATGACCAACTATAAGTTATTGTTTTTATCTTTTTTACTTTAATTTTTTTCCTCCCCTGGGATGCCTAAGAAGAAAAATGAAGTTCCCATGTCCACTTAATCTGGTCTTGAAAGAGTTTTGACCTTTGGAAAAAAACCTTCTGGACATGCTCAAGTGCTAGCGGTCCTCGCATTTGGACAGCAAAAGAAGCATCATGTTCCTTGCTGATTCTGATTTCTGAACTGAGATCAACATGAATTATATTTAAGTAATCATCAACAACGTTGACGGTGATGTTGCTGGACCCAAAAAAGGGAAAGTATGTGCTTTCAATTCCATAAATGGACAGCACTGAAAACCCTGGATCTGACAGCAATATCAAACACTGTTATCATCACAGACAAAGGGAAAGGTTGCACCTAAGTTCAGTCCTCCTAGTCTTAGGTGGCAAACCCATCATAATCTGTATCTTTCTTCACTGATGAAATCATGAATTATTTCCTTCAAGAAAAATTTCATTTGGTCTATAGACTTTTATTTCTTTTCATATCCACATATGCCTGTCCAAATCTGTCAAAAGAAAATTGTTACTGTTATGTTCTATACAAGATAGAGATAGTCAAAAGAGCCATGTCCTGTCACAGAGCTGAAAAATTAAGCAAATATGATTATTGGCTGCGAGGTCAGCATTCAAATCAACAAAAAAAAAGAAAAGCTTTAATTAAGATTGACAGTGGATGAAAAAGGTCGTTCAGGGATTATCCCAACGACTTTGTTGAAACGAATAAGAGAAAATATTGACAGGATTTTCCAGGGTCCGGGAACCTAGGTAAGCTGGTTAACCACTCATTAGGTCTAGTAGCTAAAGCACATCAAATTCCCTTTCCCACTCTGACAAAATACGGTGATCCTTCGTTGTCATTACTTCCTCACTTACACGTTGGTTCTGAATTCTGACTCCAAGTTCTTGTCAAGACAATGTTTGCGCTTCAATTCAACACGCACCAAACTTTTTGACCCTTTAACCTGCCTGGTTTCGAATGATGGTTCATAGCTGACAAGCTTGGTGCAGCAAATCAGTTCCTTGGAAATCAAGTGAATCCCATTATTATCCTTGCAGCAACAAACCCAGTATTCAATTCTTTATAAATTCTTTCATCAAACATACAACATCTGTAATAAAATACATGAAATGTTTGCTTGCTTGAAATGCAAGAGAAGGGTCGCTTCCTAGCTACAGAGAACAGTATATGACCAGACACATTGAGCAGTTGCTTCACATCAACCCAATTGAATCACAAAGTATCCAACAGACAGTGCTTCAATATACTTTCAACTCCATTTGCTGTTATTTAAATCCGCACTCACATACATAGTCAGAGAGACCGTGATCACTTACCAATGTTGAATAAAAAAAACAATTTATGAGTAGCAGTGACGCTAGATGTTGATGCTTCTGCTGCAATGAAGGTTAAAAATTAAGGCACTGAAACCCTGTTTCCAAAAGTTCTTCTGTGCTCAACATCATGGAAAAGCCACCAAATGTTATGCATTTTTAACTTCATCAAAAAGATTCCTGTCTTATCCTTTATAGACGATTAAAATTGCTTTTACTATCTCAAACTGCAAGTTCATGAATCTTCAAGACCAAGGTAAGACAGGTTAATTTTATCATGTTTGGTGAAGCCTATTGGTGCAACTTTTCAAAGGCTTTGGCTGCACTTGGTGATCTGAAGAAGACATACAAAACAAAAAATTGAAACAGGGAATCTGACTTTTTGAATTACCAATACCTACTCAGCTGAAATCATTGGCACTTCACCTCTATCTTACAGAACCATTACCAGCATCATCAACTGTCAGATTGGTATTGTCAAGATGTGAACTGACAAAACATTTATCTCCCTGTCAATGCAGGGTGGAGGAAAAAGATGTCAACTTGCCTGAACCAACGAATAAACTAGATTACTAATGTCCATTTTCGGTGCTATGATTAATTTTGTGGATGCTTGCAATCCATCATAGTGCCCTTTTTTTAATCAAACAAGAACTTCTGCAACCCTTAACTAATACACAAAAAGGGCATAATGAACAAATTTGCTGTGCCATAAACAAACTTTTCTAAGTATTTAATACTCTCAATGCATCTCTAATATGCAAGATTAAGTTCCAGTGCTCTTGCTTCTGAATGCCACAACATGTAATTTTAAAATACTTTTTTCTAAGTATTTAATACTCTCTTGTTAGCCCTCTTTTTTCCCTTTGTATGGCATGTCAATTCGGTTTTACCTTCTAATTAAAACCATCAATGTCCACTACTTATGCATGCAGCCTTAAATTATAAAATCAAAACAACCATTGAAATATTCTTACAGCTGCAATGGGATTGACTCAAATTAGTAAATTAATGATACAATCACACTTTTGCTTCTTTGCTCAATTGTGAATAATCCATGATAAACAATCAATGAGATTTAATTGCAATCCTCATGAATCCTCAACATCAAGCAGGGGCCTTCCCTGACTAGTTTAAGAGCTACATGCGTTTAGGGAGATCCATTGGAATGAAATTGGAAAATATAAGGCAAATTGATTTATATATTGTAAGAATAGGTTTACAATTATGCTGGGATTTTGGGGTTCCTATGGGAATTAAAGTCATGGTTGAAAGGAATTATCAACACATAGAGTCCGAAGATTTTTTAAATGGGACTGGGACTACATGCTAATCTCAAAGCAAACCTTGGTGCTGTTTGATATGCTATGTGTAGTGCCACAGAGAAGGAAAACCCCACGCTTTGTGTTCGTTTATCCCACTTACAAATAGCTTAGTCATGGTGCTAACGATGGAGTTCACGATCCCACCTCAATCATAAATAAATTAGATTATCTTGGTAAGTAGCTTGTAATTCAACCATGGCCACCACAAACTACACTTTACGTGCAAACCCTAACCAAGTTTGTGCGCAATCACTATAACAGAAGTTACAATTTTCATTTGATAATTGACATTTAATGATGTTACATACAAAACACGCTTGCAGAAACATATGGAACACCCTTTTGGTTCATAAAGTAAAAAGTTGCCACTATGATCAAATAATAATGTCTTCCTTTGACTTTCTATTCATCATCCATGAATTCAAAGCCATTGCAGACAATGGAGGGGTGGCATCAGCAAATATTATAACCCTGCAATGACACCGTTGAAACATAAAAATGGGGGCATTTATCTTAAAAAAACATCATGGCTCACATGTATTAGGCGTTGGATTCCGCGTCATCCTCCATTTCGCGCACAGCTTGAAGGGGGCCACTACCAAACATGAGGCCTCTGTCTGAGAGGTTGTTCAGAGGACCGTCTCCGAACAAACATACCTGGGGTTCAATCTGATTCAAGCGCTTCCACTCATCATCTGATAGAGACCAATTGAAGATGTCTATGTTTTGCTTTATCCTGTCAGGCTTTAGGCTACATGGTAGAACACTGGTTCCTCTTTGAAACCCCCACCGCAGAATTACCTATAACGGAGCAAAAGCAGACCGACATGATTTTAAACCATCAGAACTGCTATACTACTAAAAAAGGCAGCACAATAGGACAGGAAACATATCATGCTTTTTAAGGGCAATATATGAACTGCAAATCTTGGAGGGGCCAATATATGAACTGATATACTAAAAGCGGCGGTTGCATCTTGTTTCCTCCAGGCTACAAGTGGCAGTTTTAGTATTTACGTCGATAAAAATGCCTGTTATCATCATTGAATTGCTCTACCATAAAGGATTGTGATCCCAAAATGCCCTATGAAAACAATACTTCAAGCTTAACCCATAAATTTGAATTATTGCAGTTGCAAGGTATTTGATTAAGAAACCATGCATTGGCTTGCTAAAAGCTCTAAATGCATAAAATATCCTAGGCAGAAGCAATATTCAGCCACAACCATCATATGAGGATGTTAAGAAAACCCTCTGACAATCATGTCCAGATGAGTAGTTCACTTCACATTTTCTAATAGACGTAAGTATGTTAAAATGCTATCAATTGGTTATCCATCTGCAACCTCCTGCCTCTTTCTTCCCCAAGGAAAGACTTTATAAAGGTTCATATGGGATTAATCTTGTTCTTACATACACTTTCTGTTCGATTTTCCAGTGTTGGCTGTTTGGTGATGGGAAGAATCACCCCTCTAAATATGCTTTCTTAATAGAATCCATTAATACCTAACCAACCTTAATTTCAAATTAGCTGGTGTCAGCTCCATGAATCTTTTTCTCCATTCTGCTTGATCTGAGGTTATAGCATCTGAAAGATTTAAAATGGCAAATCCTTTCTTCTTATTCTATTGATCTTCAGCTATTCCACCTCCCCTCATCTCTTTCTACTTACGGCATTCCTGCTACTTGTTTAGTACTCACAGATCTACATTGCACATAATTACACCATCTAAATAATTTTCCTTAACTTGTATTCAGTTGGTGATACCTATACATCCATATGGGTATGTTTATTACTTCTTTTGCCTTATCTTGTATAGGCAAACATTCAGTTTGATTCTCCTCAAAAATTATTCACTAAAAAGCTATAGGTATTTGGTCAAAAAGATGCTTCTAAAGCTTCAGTGTTTCTTTCTATATTTTTTCATTAAAATATAGTAGTAAATACTGTTCATATATAACATTGAAACACACATATACAATGCAAACACAAACACATGCATATAAGGCCAACAACCATTCAAATGTTTGTCAATAAATCTCATTTTTCAATGTGTTTTATTTGTCAACATTTATAAAAGCCACTTGTAGTTGAGTCAAGAATTTGTAATTTTATGATTCCATCATATTTTTATTCCAAGTTTCATTTTAGAAAATTAAGATTTGATTCATGATTTCAATCTCAATTAGACATCCAAAACAAATTCCCAGTCCCATAGAAGAAAGATAGTAGAAACACCCATGGCATGACAATCTACGGTAAAAAATTAGTTCAAATGTATTCAATACCTTAGTAACCTAACAGGGTGTTATATGCATATAATCTCATTCAAGTTGCAACATCTACCAGCATCTACCAACCTTCACACATAATGCCGCATTTTTCAGTAATGAT